AAAGTATTGTAAGGATTTTTTTTTATAAATATGTTTAGCAATACTAAGGATTATTTGTCTTTTAAATCAATCTAATTAACACAACTGACTGTATCAATTAATTGAATGTTAATTGTCTATGAAGTGGGGACAAAGACATGCATCCATTGATTAAAAGATGGATGGGCAGGATAGAAGCAACGGCAAACTGTGCCGTCGGCCACAAAGGCAGAGGATGCGAACCCAAGGTAAACCAGTGTGCGTTTATTCTGATGGGTCCCTTCTCGGTGATCGTTCGACGATAACCACCCCCGGTTCCACTGGTGTTAAGTGTGTTTTGGTGTGGGACACGTTTTTCGCGTCAACACCAACCAACAGAATTCATTCTCTATCCACGATGATATCCAGAACTCACATATCCATATGCATGGTGACCTTGCAAATGTTTAGACCCTCCTGAATTTTGGAGGAAATTCACGAGAACTGAAATAATTTCAAAAAGATGATATTCTACATTCCAAGGTGAGAGACATGGGTGCATAAGGTGGCCCCAAAAAGGCCGTCTACTTTGTTTGCACCTGAGCTAGCTAGCTAGTGGTGGCCACTAGGACGTTGCCTGATCTATCCTGTCCTGAAGAACAAGAAGCCAAAATCTCTCCCAAAAAAAAGGGCAAAAACCACTCGCTTGTCAGGACTCGATCGCCTGCAAATCGGCTATAAATAACAGGCATGCCAGTACACACACCTGGCCACCAACATAGGATATAATCACACAAACAATTCCATTAATTAGCCACTGAAATCTTGGAGAGTGTACGGCTAATTTAGAACGTATAGGATGGTGGCTGCTCGCACTACTGGCATTGTGCTCGTGGTGATCTCGCCGCAGAGCTCGCGGCCGCGCCGGAGGCCCGCCGGATCGTGTATGCGGCGGCGGTGGGATACTCCACCGGCGCCTGCGAGGGTGGGGTGGCCGGCAATGGCGGCGGCGGAGCTCAGCCGCGGTTTAAGTGGAACACGCGGAGAGAGATCGGCGGGGACAAGAGAACCGTCCCCGGTGGCCCTGATCCGCAGCACCATCACTGATCGATTGATTACGTTTCGTCATATTTCGTCAGAATTCATATGTCATTTGTTTCGCGATTGAACATTTGAACTTGGGTCTTGGGAACGTTCGGTGTGTGGGCCTGTTCACTTTGATGCCATTTTCAACCTTACCAAATTTTGGTAAAGTTGCCAAAAAAAATGGCTACATTTAGTTTGCTGCCAAATTTTGGTAACTATATAAGAAATCCTGCTAAAAGATTTTTTTTGGTATCAAAATGAACAAGCCCTGTGTTTTTTATCACTCTGTGCTGTGGTCAAGTAATTTTTAGTAATACTACTATACCGTTTTGTAAGCTAGCCACATTAGCTTCCGGCACTGCATGAATAAAAATAACTTTATTAATTTCAATAACAAAAATAACTATATCAATTCTACTTATACTACTTAAAAAATAAGAGGTGCTTCCGTCGTCCGTAAAAAAACCGGGCAAACAAAAACCGGGCGAAAAAAAACCAGTTTGTCCGATCCAAAAAACCGGTAAAGAAATTTCCGTCGTCCGTACATAGAAAAGAAAAATATGCGCGAATAAAAAAGTGCGTGCAAAAATAGTTTTTGTCCGATTCCAAAATAAAAAAAAGGGACGAGCTAGTGAGTTGTCGACAGTTTTTGAGGTCCAAAACTTTCAAATTTTTTACTATAGGATTTGTCATCAATGGTTATAGCCTTATAGGGGAACAATCGACACTAGTACAATTTAGTGTCCAAGCTGATTTAACAACAAGAAATTGGCCTACATGTAGAAGGGAAAAAAACTTTCAAATTCAAAAGTAATATGCACTCCTAAAAAAATTACAAATCATAATTTTATACAATGTAACTACCTTATAATTATCATGTAATTACTATATAACTAGTGTGTAAGTGCTATATAACTAGAGTGTAAGTGCTATGTAACTACTCTATAACTAAGATGTAAGTGATACGTAACTAGGGTGTAAGTGATATATAAGAAAAAAGAATTATTGCTAATAAGAAGGTGCATGGCTTAGCTTAACGTGTGCATCATGTTCGATGACTGCCTTGCCCATGCGATTTTTTTTTTATTCTGGCTGTATATGTTGCACGAATCCTAGAGCATATCTAATCTAATGGCTAGAAAATCGAAAGTTTTCCAAACAAAGAACTGTCAACAGTTTTTTAGCAAAAACCTAAAAAAAATTCCAAGCGAAAAAAGAGTTTCCATCTTCCTACAAAAGGAAAAAATAGTGCGAAAAAAAAGTTTCTATCCGAAGGGAAACACGCGCGAATAAATACCTAATTAAAAAATAAATATCTATCTCTAGAAAACCTTATGTCATAAAAAAAAGACCGACTCCCGTAGAGAAAAAAAAAAGTCCGACTCATGAAAAAGAGGATTTCTCGTCCGTAAAAAAAAAGGAAAAAAACATCCGACTCAAAATCCGTAAAAAGAAAAGGAGGAAAAAACGTCCCGGCCAAACTTAAAGTCGCCCCTTGTTGTCCGTATATATCTCTTTAACTCTAATCTAATCTATCAATCTAATCTAACTTTTTAGAAAGAGAAGTTTCCATCATCCGTTAAAAAGGAAAAAAATGCGCAAGAAAAAAATAGTTTCCAAAAAAATGCGCAGGAAAAATATGGTTTCCTTCGTCTGAAAAAAATAAAAAAAAATGCTATTAAAAACTATCAGAAAGAAATAAACCATTTCTAAAAAAATGGTTTCAAAAAACCACACAAGAAAAAAAACGTTTAGAAAAAAAACCGCTCTGAAAAAACTAACAGATGAAACACTGTTTATAAAATAACAGATCCAAAAAAAACAAACAGACTCAACGCGCGAAAAAAACCGTTGTTTCAAAATAAGGTTCGAAAAAACCGTCCGACTTAACGCGAGAAAAAAACCATCATTTCCAAAAAAGAAAAAAAGTTAGAGGAAACCATCCAACTCAATGCGAGAAAAAAACCGCCGTTTATAAAAACAACCGCTCCGAGAAACCGTCCGACTAAAAGTGAGATAAAATTGATGGACGCTTGGATCGGATAAGATCCATCGATTTTTTCCATCTCCTACACATCATTTGTTTCCTCATCTAATCTCCTGCATTGGAGACCCTGCACTTTTTGTATGCAATTATCATTATCAGACTTTTTTTAATAACATATTATATGAAAATAGTATTAAAACTAAACATATTTTTAATTGTTATTTAGAGAAGAGTGCACGGTGACTATTTTGTGTATACTTGATCCTGAGTGTAGGATTTGATTAACCTATTATTGGTTGCAAGAATAAGATTGAAAGAATATTTTAGATTATATGTATGTTGTTATATGAATAATTCAATTATTTTAGTTAAAGCAAGCATTGGTAAAAAGATTGCCATCATCGAGTTTGGGTCATTACATAAAGATGCTCTAATTTTCTAATTGTGTTAGCTACGACGATCCATAGAAACATTATCATTGATATGGGTACGCTTGAAAAATGTCTATTGTCATTGGATTTTTTTTTACCCGTTGCAACGCACAGGCATTTTTACTCGTTCAATAATAAAAATAACCATATCAATTTTAATATATGTTGTTCCGGTTTTTAAGGATATACTCGTAAGAATAAGGTGTACAAGCCCATGCATTGTGATTTAGAAATAAGGTTGACCTTGACAACAGGCAACAACAATGCGCTTTGACCCGACTTCTTGGGTATACTTGTATGGATGGTCCGTAAGGCCTCAACGTTGCAAACGGCCCATATCCAAGTTGGACCAAATCAGTCGATTGAGCCCAACAAGTTAGCTCAATCTCTACATAAGCCCAGGCCTGATGGTCCAACCAGCAACTAATGCTGCATGGAAGACGAAAAAGGAATAAGTCCATTTACCTCCCTCACCTCTTGCCCTCAACCACAAAATCAGGTATATTGCCTCCCTCAAATAATAAAACCAGTACAAACGTCTCCCTCGATGATTTTTAACAGTAGTTTTACTGACATGGCAGCCTAATCATCGAAAAAAATAAAATATATACGTGGAGGCCACATGTAAGTGACACTTGCCTTCTTCCTCCACCACTCCCCTCTCTCCTCTCCCCTCTCGCTCCATTGACAGAACACGGCCCCGTGATGGTGCTGAAACTAGGCCTCGTCACCAAGGGGCGTGCAGCTAGGGGAGGCGCCCTTGCGCTTCTTGCCCTTCTCCGATACCCTATTGCCTTCCCGTCGTCACGATGCGCGCGCATATGCATCATCTTCACCGCCAGTGGGTAGCACAACTTCTCCAGTGATTTGGTTAGGGGAGACGTGGCTATATAAGCGGCGGCGGCCACATCATGTGTAGATGTGTGTCTAGGTGCAACGGAATCCGACAAGATTTCTACCAGGTGCTACACGCTTGGGTTGCTCGCATCGAAAGCATCTCCATGAAAATCACTGCCCCTCCCGCACCTCCAACGTCGCCAACGCCTCCCCTATCCGGCGGCTTCGTTTTTCCACTGCCATCGTATCCCCTGGCCAGCGGTTCTGCTTCGCCACTGCCGGGCGCGTCCCTTGGTGACAGCCGCATCCTCCGGCGGTCCCCACCCTCCCGCGCCTACAACGCCCTTGTTTGCGCGCCTCTTGGTGACAACTGACGAGGCCCAGGCAATCACAGGGCCATGCTCTGTTCGAGGAGAGAGGGGAGAGGAGGGAGCGGAGTGGAGGAAGAAGACAAGTGTCGTGGGCCCCACATATATTTTTTTATTTTTTCGATGATTATGCTGCCACGTCGCCAAAAACCGTAAAATACCATCGTTTTTCATTGGTTTTAATACTTGGTAGAGCAAATATACCCGGGTTTGTGATTGAGGAATGCCATTTGAACGGGGACAAGAGTTGAGTGAGGTAAACTAGACTTAATTTCGGGGATGAAACACGTGCCTGAAATCTAGCAAATCCCCTCTGGGAAAGTTGGCACAGGCCATTCCGGCCAACGTCGTCGTCGCCATTAAGGTGATCGGTGGCTGTATTATACGTGGCATCACCTCTCCCCCTGTGTTGGATTTGCCTCCTCGATTTGCATTTCCCGCCTAAAATTCTTTTCTGTGGCCATGCGTTGATGCGTAGTGTATCATCTTATCGAGTTTGTACACCGGGTGTGTCGTGAGCTCTGTTCATGGCGGCCGTGCAGCTCGACTCCGGCCTGCTCGTCGGCTTTCTCTTCTTGGCGACGTGCTTGGCCGTCGCGATTAGGAGCTACCTGAGATCGGGTGGCGCGGCGATCCCGTCGCCGCCGGCGTTGCCGGTCATCGGCAACCTCCACCAGCTCGGCCGCGGGCGGCACCACCGGGCGCTGCGCGAGCTCGCGCGGCGGCACGGCCCGCTGTTCCAGCTCCGGCTCGGCTCCGTGCGCGCGCTCGTCGTCTCCTCGGCGCCCATGGCGGAGGCCGTGCTCAGGCACCAGGACCACGTGTTCTGCGGCCGGCCGCAGCAGCGCACGGCGCGGGGCACGCTGTACGGCTGCCGGGACGTCGCGTTCAGCCCCTACGGCGAGCGGTGGCGCCGCCTCCGCCGCGTCGCCGTCGTGCGCCTCCTCAGCGCGAGGCGGGTCGACTCGTTCCGCGCCCTCCGGGAGGAGGAGGTCGCGTCGTTCGTGAACCGGATCCGCGCGGCGAGCGGCGGAGGCGTCGTCAACTTGACCGAGCTCATCGTCGGCCTCACCCACGCCGTCGTGTCGAGGGCTGCGTTCGGGAAGAAGCTCGGCGGCGTCGATCCGGCGAAGGTCCGCGAGACGATAGGCGAGCTCGCCGACCTGCTCGAGACGATCGCGGTGAGCGACATGTTCCCGCGGCTCCGGTGGGTGGACTGGGCGACGGGGCTCGACGCGAGGACGAAGAGGACGGCGGCCAAGCTCGACGAGGTTCTCGAGATGGCGCTCCGTGACCACGAGCAGAGCCGCGGGGACGACGACGACGGCGGCGGCGGCGACGGCGAGCCCCGTGACCTGATGGACGACCTGCTCTCCATGGCCAACGACGGCGGCGGCGACCATGGCCACAAGCTCGACAGGATCGATGTCAAGGGACTCATCTTGGTAAGTCCTCTCCAATTATCACCAATCAAATAATCATTGCTAAATCAAATAATTCGTCTCAATTTCTTTCATGTCGCATTGCCAGGACATGTTCATAGCAGGCACGGACACAATATACAAATCGATAGAATGGACGATGGCCGAGCTCATCAAGAACCCAGCAGAAATGGCGAAGGTCCAAGCCGAGGTGAGACATGTCGCCGCAGCTGCACACGGAGACGAAGACGAAGACACCGTCGCCGTCGTCAGGGAGGAGCAGCTGGGGAAGATGACCCTCCTCCGGGCGGCGATGAAGGAGGCGATGCGCCTCCACCCGCCGGTGCCGCTGCTCATCCCGCGCGAGGCGATCGAGGACACGGTGCTCCACGGCCACCGCGTCGCGGCGGGGACGCGCGTGATGATCAACGCGTGGGCGATCGGGAGGGACGAGGCGGCGTGGGAGGGCGCGGCGGAGTTCAGGCCGGGGAGGTTCGCCGGCGGCGGGGACGCCGCCGGCGTCGAGTACTACGGCGGCGGCGACTTCCGGTTCGTGCCGTTCGGCGCCGGCAGGAGGGGTTGCCCCGGCGTGGCGTTCGGGACGCGGCTCGCGGAGCTCGCGGTGGCGAACATGGCGTGCTGGTTTGAGTGGGAGCTCCCCGATGGGCAGGACGTGGAGTCGTTCGAGGTCGTCGAGTCGAGCGGTTTGTCGCCTGGGCTCATCAACCCGTTGGTCCTCGCCGCGAAACCTCTCAAATAAGTAATCCCTCCATCTCAAAATATAACAATTTTTACCGCTCAGAATTTATCTCAAAATACAACAATTTCTTCACTAACATTTCATTCCCAACCGATCACAATCCTCCACTATTTACCTTTTCCACCTACCTCTACTTCTCAATTAATCACAACCTCTCTCTATTTAATTTTACCTACTTTCTTAATAACTGTGTCCAATTCTAAACTTCTTATATTTTAGAACAGAGGTAGTACAAGTTTTGTTTTCAATTCTCAAGTGTATATAACATAGTACTAAGATATACAACAACTGTAGTAAGCTTCATGATTAACACTAATGATATGATGTACTATGTACCTATTTATAATATTCTTTATCTTAAAATATAAGTTACAATCATTTTTTTCCTATATCCCACGACATGAGGCGTGCATGTATGTACTCTCCCCGTGCCAAAAAACTCAACCTAGAACACATTCCCTCTCAGCACTAGAATCTTGACTACCATTTATCTAGATTCGTTGTCCTAGGAGGGAGGTCACATCTTCTTCTAGGTTGAGTTTTTTTTTTTTTTGAACGGAGGAGTATACATTAACTATCACCTATTGGTTATTTAAATTTGTTTTATTTTAAATTCTCTATCATTAAATCTCCAATCACATTGGTTGCATATATTGATGTGATCCAATCTAAGAAGATGATTAAATTCTTTTTTTGTCTTTATGCTAGGAATGGTTAAGCCTTACATGGAGTGCATTTTAAGATGGAGGGAGTAGTACAGTCGCAGCTTGCTCCATTTCCAATTTTTCCCATGTGGGTTGAATCCAATCAAGAAAATGATTAAATTCATTTTTGGTCTTTATGCTAGGAATGGTTAAGCCTTACATGGAGTGTATTTTAAAATGGAGGGAGTAGTACAGTTCGCAACTTTGCTCCATTTCCAGTTTTTCCATGTGGGTTGAATTAGTGGGCCTGAACATGGAAGAATCAGGCCAGCCTGTAACTTCCTACTGAACCGGCCCACCAAGCTGCAACCATATCAAAGCACCGAAAACAGGCCAAATAATGGCCAGAGAGATGAAGGGACTGTTCACTTTGGCAGGATTTTGCTAACTTATCAAAATTTTGGCATGATTTTTTATACATAGTTACTAAAATTTGATAGCAAACTAAATATAGCTTTTTTTTTAACTTTACTAATAACATTAAAGTGAACAGGGTCCAGAGGCACCTGACATGAAGCTGTTGCCGTATGACGAGGTGAACTTGATCATCACAGTACAACGCACAGGCACAGCATACGCCGCCAAAAAATCGTGGCAGGGCGAGCGAACAGGAGACCTGTGGTACACTGGTACTACGTACCATTTTTTTTTAACATTGTACACTGGTACTCCGTACTGGAGTACTAGTATGCATGCACTTATACACGCCCAGCTATTGGGCCAACAGCGCGGAAGAGAAAAGGGATTAAAGAATGAATGAACCATCTCTCGTGCAATGGTAATTTCTACACAAAGGGATTAAAGAATGAAAAGAAGTACTCTCTCCGTCCTATAATAGACACAGATGTGGATTTTAGTGTCCAACTTTGACCATCTTAAAATATTAGACGAATGGTCAAACGTTGGGCATAGAAATTTATGGTTGCACTTGTAATGGGACGGAGTAAGAGCATTAGAGTTATTGGGATTTGTGTGTTAGAGTTAACTGATTTCTATATATTTAGTAAGAGCAAGTTTAATTCTCCCTTCATTTCAAAATATAGGGCACAACTACTTTTTAAAGGTGTTTCATAATATAAGGCGTTTTCAATCTATAGCCAATCTAATAGCTCATTCATATAATAGTTAGCTATAAGAGCAAGTTTAATAGTATAGTCAACTACTGGCTCCAATTCATTTATAGCTAATCTAATAGCTCATTTATACAATAATTACATATTATACTATTAATATCTGGTCCCACCTGTTATACACACGCTGCGTCGTGGAGTCCGTGCTACAACTGGCTACAAATCTGTAGCCCGTTGCCATTCTCTCTCCTTAAAATATGTTTGTATCTGGCTTATAACCTGCTATTGTACCTGCTCCAAGCATATACTACACTATCAATATATGGTTCCACCTCTCATACATATAATATATTGTAGTCCGTGCTACAGCTGGCTAAAAATATGTAGCCCGTTTTCCTTCTCTCTCTTCTCTTCTCTCCTTCACGTGTGTTTACAGACTTGTAGCCTGCTATTATACTCACTCTAACTCTTAATTTAGAGAGAGATGGTATAGAGATAAAATTAGAGGTGAGAGCCATCCCTATTACTACTACAAAACTTGTTCTAATCAAACGAAATAATTCACATATAAATGACTCACGACACTCATCCGAGAGGTGTCATGCGAATCAATGCCTCCCCCTCCCCTCATAGTAGTAATAAATCGTTCGGGCTATAAGTGATGCATATATACGTAGCGGACAGTAGTTTTACGTGCCGGAGCGAACATTTGTACCAGTAGTTATACGATTCGGCTGTCCAGGATTAATAATGTGCTAGAACTAGGACTGATTTAGTTTATAACTTTTTCTTTAAACTTCTAACTTTTTCATCTCATCAAAACTTTTTTACCCACATAAACTTACAACTTTTTCATCACATCGTTCCAATTTCGATCGAACTTTTAATTTTGACGTGAACTAAACACGCCCCTAGTGTATCTTGCTTATAGTAACTCACACTAAGTTCATTTATCATTGAGATTAAAAGTCCGAGTTTATCGGGAGCCATCAGCGCGCGGTAGCATTGGCATGTCCACATATATAGCGCGGTTGAATGATTGTCAATATTTCTTCATACAGAATGTCGTCCGTTAATCTGCTTGGGCGCATCGATCGCGTCCATGCATGCAGCCGTAAAAACCGAGATGAGGGCAGCCACTGCTACATTGACCGGTGCACAGCTAGCACATCTGCGGCAGCAGCAGCAGCATCCGATGAGCCGCGAGCAAACAAAGAAAACACACAGAGACGTACTACTCCACAGTCCACGCTGATAGTAGTACGTGCAGGATTGCGAGCGGAGCGGGCAGGGCAGGCAGGGCACGTGACGGCCCGCAGACGCAGGAGGAGGAGACAGCGGCCGCCTATAAGGGTGTATTTGTTTGGGTAGATAACCTGGATGGGAGATGGTCCTTTGATTTTTGGTGGTGTTTAGTTGAAGGGCAGGGTAGATGGGATGGGTCAGAATAGAGAATATTCTCTTAATATGCTGGATGAGTGCATCCGGCTAATTTAGCTAGATGAAATCATCCAGTTTTGATCTAGGTGATGTGTCCTGTTTTGATTGTCGTGATTTTCTGTTAAGCGAAACGGATCCGGAGGGACAGGTAAACGGGCGGACGCCCTGCAGATCAAAGGCGCGCCAACTTGTCGCCGTCCGTCCGCGAAAGCGGCTTGCACAGTGACGCCCCTGCACTGCACACAGTGACGGGCCTACGTGCGTCGTCCCACGGGGAAAGCGGCTTGCTTGCACAGTGACGGTTGCTGCGGCCGCCCGGCCGACCCGCTGCGGTGTCTGCCGCCACCCACGCGCGCCGCAGGGGTGGTGTACGTTTCGGGTCGGAGGAAGTTTTGGTTTGGGGTCAGAGGAAGTTTTATAACACAGGGGGTGTTTAGTTGACGCTAAAATTGAAAGTTGGGGTCAGAGAAAGTTTTATAACATAGGGTGTGTTTACTTGACGCTAAAATTGAAAGTTTGGTTGAAATTGAAATGATGTGATGAAAAAGTTAGAAGTTTATGTGTGTAGAAAAGTTTTAATGTGATAAAAAAGTTAGAAGTTTGAAGAAAAAGTTTGAAAATAAACAAGAGCATAGTGGCATTTTAATTTTTGCCACTTTTAAAATACCGCAATTAAGAATTTGAGTCTATAATAATAACCATTTATAAGAGTGGTAAATAGTTAAATATTTATATAACGGAAGTGATGGTTACCTTTACTTTTACGTACATCATTCATGCACAAAACTAAAAGTAAATTATATACATCGCATTTATAATATACTAATCATAATTCATTTGTCACCAATTAATCCCTGTCATTTTCTCTTTTCTCTCGAAGTTTGTATGGATATTGCTCCTACACAAGAGGTGGTTCACTCACTCTCATATATTCTTTCCTTCACGTCATCATTTAAGCATACATGTCACTTTGGGGTTAATTTGCGCTTAGAACCTCCTAGTACTTGCTCTGATACAGCGAACGGATGCGTGGTGATGCTGCTGATGAATATCACTCAATCCGAAGTTCTGAACCATCTAACCTAGGAAAGTGAAGATTAAATTGATGCATGTAAAATGAAAAAATTGTTAGCACATATAATTAATTAAATTTTAATTATCACAAACTTCACAAATGGATATATATTTGTTGTTTTAAAACAACTTCCATATGAAAAGTTTTCACACGGGACACGCTATTTAGTAGTTTAAAAAACGTGCTAACAAAAATTGAGATAAAATCTAAATCTTAATGAGAGAAAAGGGCGTGATTAGTCGATTAATCGTCCCATGCAAAATCATTAGTGCTACACGGTCTATAACATTATATTTTAACTAGTATTAGTTTCTCATATAATATATAATCAACGACTTCGTTGTAAAATATTTTTCAAATACTGATATATATAATGGTACTACATGTATGACGCTAGACACATAATTAAATTATATCGATTATTAACTTCGGGTGACTAAAGTTTTTCTTTAGAATCTTTATCTCTCAAGTTAGATTCTAAGAATCAATGCAAAAATTAATTTAATACCCCATTCGTCCATAAATATAAGTGATTATACTATATTTTTTATAAGAACTAAGTAATAGTAAATAGATAAAGCACAGTACAAATAGGGATGAGTGTACGCGTATTGTGAGCGTCTGCGTTTGTACTGTGTTTAAAAAAATAGTGATGGTTGAAAGAATAAAGTAGTCAAAAGTTTATCAATGTAAGGGATCATAATCTTTCTCATGAAAAATAAATAGTAGTAAGAGCATGTACACTAGCAGACTATAAACTAGCTATAAACACTTTTCGAGGGATAAATAAGGATATACAATATGCTAGCTGTATAGCATGAACTCCAAGATACAATATATGTATGATAGGTGGGACCAAGTATTAATAGTTTAGTATATGTTTATAGATAACTATTGTATTGTCGACGAGAAAATCAAACACACCGGCCTGGGAGATCTGCTTAGCTCTTGTGCAGGTCCAAATCTTGATGAGATGCGGACGTGCCAGTCAGTTTGATCCTGCAACTGACAAGATATGCAAATATTACATCAAAACAGCCGATCGGCTGACAAGCCGATGGAGTAGTTCCAGCCGATAGTCGATAATAGCCGATGCCGATACCAGCCGATAGCGATAGGGTTTAAGCAATCGGCTATACGTCCAATGTAGATAATGATATAAAGGCAATTGGCTGATAATGATGTAATAAAATAACAATATAATCCAGTATAAACTAATTGGCTAGCAATGATATGATAAATAAGCATCGATCCGAAGGTTAAAGCACACATCGGCTGGAGGTCCGATGTCACGAAATCCACAAGATTAGATTAAACAGTGAAACATTTGTTGTCATCGGCTAAATCCAACTTATATGTATGTGCAATCCTTATGAGCCGATGCAACGTCCAGATAACTCACCGGCTGAAACCCCGATGAAACCCTTATTGGCAATCAAGAAGCAGGCTAGAGATTATGGTTCTAAGCACGACTTAGTAGATCAAACTTAACTGATGCAGCACTAAGTATGAAAAGAAACATAATATCTAGACAATCAAGCCGTTGACTGATTTTTAGGGTGGTAGATGTCTGAGCTAATCTAATCTAGCAACGCGATTTAGCCGATACCGGCAGAAACCCTAAAACGAGAAGCAGCCGATAGAGCTAAATTGATATGCTAAGACTAGATTAATAGAGACATATGATAAATAGGTAGGCAAATATATCATCCAAACCAGAGCAATCCAAGAGGTCGAATGTACTGATGCAGCCTTGAACGACGCCGATGTAGATGAGACAATTGCCTGGGCCGACGGAACATTAGACTTATCCCTTTGCCGGAGATCGAAGACGATGCAGCCCCGCGTCAGGTGCCAAGTCCCGCCGGACGATAAAATAAAGTAGAAAAGGTAAAAGGTGGCGATGCGCCGAGTTGTATTGATCGTGAGGATAGATTATATAGACCCCGGGTGTACATATTTATACCCATGGGTTGATACAAGTCCTTGTCGGACAAGAAAGAAACTTTCCTAAAGATAAAAGAAAAAGATAAAGTCCTTATAGGACACTAAACACACTTTCCTAGAGATAAAAAGAAACTAACAAACTATTCCTAATTAATAGATAAACTGCCATGCCGCATCTTCTTTAAACTCGGTCACTTAGGGATAAGCTTCCTTTAGTAGATTGATTTCCTTAACCGAATATAGCAGGAACCCGACTATTGGTGACATGATAACTCCCATCGGCTGATTCCGAGATGCTGCAGCCGATAATGATTCTAAGCCGATGACGTCTTTGCCGATTACCAAATTTTACTGTTAACATGTATGAATTGGATATTAAATTGATTATAGATTATTTGCAGCTAGTTGTTGGCTATACAATTAAACTTGCTTAAAAGGATAAAGCACGGAACAAATAGTGATGCTTGAAAGAAAAAGTAGTCAGAAGGTGATGGGAGGGGGATATACCAGTAAAAAAGGTGATGAGTGAGGAATAATTATAGAAATAGTATGTGAGAAATAAACTAGTATCTTAGAGTTACAAAATCCCTTATATTTAGAACAAATTTAAAAGGTATAATTTCTTATATTTTGGAATAGAGAGAATAGTCATAAGGTAAGAAAAACAGTTGGCTACTCACAAAATGAGCTCACAGAGTTTCTTCTCAGTGTGTTCAACAACCCAAGTAAGAGCAGTTACAATAGCAGGCTATAAGCTAGATATAACCACATATCGAGAAAAACAAGAAAAGAGAGAAGAAAGCTGGCTGCAGATTTATAGCCAGCTGTAACACGGACTCCAAGACGTTATGTGTGTATGAGAGGTGAGACCGGGTATTAATAGTGTAGTATATTTTTGTAGTTAACTATTGTATGAATCGACTATTAGATTAGATATAGATGATTTAGAGCCAGTAGTTGGCTATACTAATAAACTTGCTCTAAGGGCCCTGGAACGGAGGGTGTATAAAAAGGGTTAAATCTGTGAAATGGAGCAAGTAAGGCCTCTCACAGTGCTCCTAGCTGGCGCATGATCTCGTTGTGCTGCGGCGGATTCACATCGACGTGGAGCGGGCGACCGTGCCTCAGCTAGGTTTCTCACCCCTTATGTGAGCGACGTAGAACCTCGCCAAAACGAGGGCGCGCAGCGAGGAGAAGACGCGGGTCGCGCGCGCTGTGGGCGGCGTAGCCTCGCGCTCGCGTGCCCTAGCGCCCAAAATCCCCTCCTGCCGTAGCAAAATCCCCGATTGGCCCTCCCAAAATCCCCTCCCGCCACAACATTATTTCTCCCACCACAGATCGGATTGGAAGAGAAAAGGCCAGTAAATATTGAGGATTGGAAGAGAAGAACATATCGGATTCAACAAGATGAAAAAGAAAAAGAAAGCAAAATCATCACAGCAAAATCCGACAACTGGGTCATGCTTGACTCCGACAACCCCACTGACTCTCCTGCAACACCATCCCCGCCTGCTCTGTCTTCGACGATGAGGTGGGAGCGATGCTGATGGCGACAGCCTCTACGGCGGAGAACTCGCCGCGCCCGCCGCCGATGAGGCCGCTCTCCGGCCTCTTCTACCACACCGCCTCCACCGTGCCTCTTCTTGGGGAGGGGAAGGAAGCGAGGCGGCGCCGCCACCACGACGACGAGCCGGCAACCACAACGACGAGCAGGAAACCACTGGTGCCAGCGCCTCCCGAGGACGCCTCCCGCTCGCGTCAGTCGCCGCGGCGTCGACGCCCATGTCCACCAACGCCGCCACCGCCTCCGCCTCCCTAGCCGCGCGCACATCGACGAGGAGAGGAGTCCTCCCGCGCACATCGGTCGTCGCTGCGTCGGCGCCTCACCTCCCCGGTGTCCCCCCTCGCCGCCGTCGTGTGCAGTGGGTGTGGCACGGGCAGCGCAGTCGACAGCGAGGCGAGGCACACGGCGGCGGCGTCCCGGGCGTCCGCCGCGAGGGAGGAGAGCACGACGAAGAGGGAGGAGAAGGCGAAGGGGAGGAGAAGTGAGCAGCGCAGGCAGCACGGTCGACGGCGAGGCGAGGCGCACGGCGGCGGCATCCCCGGCGTGCTGCTGCGGCGTGGGAGGCGAGGAGGCGCGGCGGCGTGGGAGGAAAGGAGGAGGCGCGGCGGTGCGGGAGAGAGGAGAAGGAGGCGGTCGCGCCGAGGAGAGTAGAAGGAATATTCGCGCGAGTAGCAGGCGAGGACCGTGCTGAAGGGTAGTTGAGAGAAATAAATTTCGTTCTGCTCTGTGCTAACGCGCCTAGGGTCATGCCCACTGTGGGCTTAGTACCCTTTACCAGTGCCTCCATCCAATTAAACCACATATATATAGATGCTTATACTGTAGGATGGATGTCTTTATACCAACTTTTTACTTTTTAGACTAAGGTACGTGGCCATAGCTTATACCGTGAGGCCTCAAAGTAGAGAAAGGGAAATGGAATCGGAGCAACATCCCCCGATATTCCCGGGCTCTTGCTGCGGCTTGCGTCGCTCAGTGTGCGCAGGCTACTACCTGTCTGTCCCGGGATCCGAATGTCATCAGCATAGCCGTCACGTAGACAGCAGATTCGTTGGCTGCTGCACCCAAATCTCTCTCTGCCCCGTGCTTTTTTAAATCGTCTCCATGAGACAAAACTTGCCACCATTTTAAGAGGATTCAGTTTTCCATTTCTGCATCCACAACAGAAAACACACAATAATGCTGGATTGAACCTTTAGGTGGTGTTTGGATCAGGGACTAAATTTTATTATTAGTCTACGTTTAATACTTCTAATTAGTGTCCAAACATTTCGATGTGATAGAGACTAAAATTTAGTCTCTGAATCAAAACACTTTTAGGCTGTATTCAGCACCCCTTTTTCTAACCCCTCTCATTCGTTTTCCGCGCGCGGGCTTTTCAAACTACTAAACAATGTGTTTTTTAAAAAAAGTTTCTATACGAAAGTCACTTAAAAAAAATCAAATTAATTTATTTTTAGAAAAAAATTAACTAATACTTAATTAATCACGTGCTAATGGACCATTCCGTTTTCCGTGTGTACTGTTCTGATTGGGAACATATATCAGCAAACACAGCCTTAATATAGACACGTCTCTTAGAGCAGGTACAGTAGCAAGCTATTAGCCAGCTATAAACATATTTTAATGAGATAAATAATGAGAGAAGAGCAGCGGGCTATAGATCTGTAGCCAGCTGCAGCACGGACTCTAAGACGCAATATGTGTATGACATGTGTGACTATATATTAATAGTATAGTAAACAACTATTGTATAAATTAGCTATTAGATTGGCTATAGATAAATTGGAGCTAGTAGTGGCTTATACTATTGAACTTGCTCTTATGATAACTGAGAACCATCAGCCAACGAGAAAGCCTTTTTCAGCCTTTTAAGGATGCTGTCCCATTTTGAAATCTGATACCCATTTTGAAATCTGAACTTACACATGCTTTTGATTTTTTTTTTGAAAGCAATCAGTGCATGCACGCATTGCTGGCCAAATGTATGGATGGATACTTTGACTGTCTTTTTTTCTCCACACATCCGACTTTGGATTCAGCTACACCAAAGTGGGCGATTTCTGATTACGGCAAAGAGAATCGGTTCCATTCCACGGCTTTATTATTACCGGATGCAAATGTAAACAATGTTTTGATCTCCCCTTGGCGCTGCTTTTCGCGGTTGCAGAACTTGTGCAATGCGACAGTCACACAGGCTCGATTCCCCGCGAGGCAGCGTCGAAAAAGCAAAGCGAAAACACGCACGCATTTGTCCGTATCATATCAAACCGAAATGATACCGATTCCAATCTAACATCTTAACTTTTAATTCTTATAGTAACTTGATCTTACTATTTATTATTACATAATTCTAGAAGGACGTATTTTAGATAACTACGATGGTACAAAATATTATTTAAATATAATTGTTTGAAAATAATATAAATAAACACGCTCAAGTTCATATAAAAATCAATTAAATTTATCATAATTAATATCAAATGCTTTAGTTTATGCAATATACTTTACATCTTATTAAAAAAATATGTATTTTCCAAAATATGATAGTATTCCAGTTATATGATACTATCTCCGTTTCAATTATAAAACTTTTTATTATTGACCATATTCATATAGATATTAATGAATCTAGGCACATATGAATGTGGACAATGCTAGAAAGTCTTATAACCTAAAACAAATGTAGTATTACTCTCTCCGTCCCATAATATAAATAATTTTAGAGAGATGTAACACATCATAATATTAACCTAAAACAGATGTAGTATTACTCTCTCCGTCCCATAATATAAATAATTTTAGAGAGATGTAACACATCATAATATTATAAATTTGGACAAAGATATATCATATCACTTTAAAATTTCTTTATATTACGTGAGGGAGTACTAGTATCCAATATTCCAATATAAAAAGAAACGTACGTGACACTGATGCAGGAGCGATGCTGTCACTGAAAGAAAAAAAAACACAGAGAGAAGAAAAGCTGGGAGCTGTACACGAAAACGCAAGGGCAAAAGGCGAGCGAGAGAGAGTTCACGGATCACGAAAGGTGTCGTTTTTACTTGCAAAAATCCAATCTTTAGCTTCTCCCGATGCGAGGCGCCCGAGCCTGCCCTTCCTCCTCCCTGTGCGGGAACAGTGGCTACCAAAAGCGGCAGAAGCCGCGGCAAGGCAAGGCCCCCGGCCCCGCCACGCCACGGTGGTGGAGCCCGGAGCCCCCCCTCCTTCTCCCTCCTCCTCTCGTCGCTTCCGCCTTGGCTCGTCTTGTGCCTACGCGAGAGCCAGAGATTGGGGGGGAAGGTTGCATTCATTGATGCCGCCGCGGCGCCGCTGCTGCTTTTAACGCGCTCGTCGTCGGCGTCGTCGGCTGCCCTCCACCGCAATCAAGGCCAATTTGGCGCGCGGCGAGGAGGAGGAGGGAGGAGGAGATGGGGATTGACCTGAACACGGTGGAGGAGGAAGCGGAGGAGGGGGCGGCGGCGGCGGTGTGCGGGGAGCTGTGGCACGCGTGCGCGGGGCCAGGGGTGGCGCTGCCGCGGCGCGGCAGCGCGCTCGTGTACCTGCCGCAGGCGCACCTCGCCGCGGACGGCGGCGGCGGCGAGGTGCCGCCTGCCGGCGCCGCGGCCGTGCCCCCGCACGTCGCGTGCCGCGTCGTCGGCGTCGAGCTGCGCGTGAGTGATACTGACCTACCTCCGGCTCCTCCTCCCCTCGCCGAGAAAGAAGTAGTATTCTGATGGCGTCTCGTGGTGCGCGTGCAGGCGGACGCGGCGACGGACGAGGTGTACGCGCGGCTCGCGTTGGTGGCGGAGGGCGAGGTGAGCAAATGCAGCTTGGATTTCTCGCGCCGTCTCTACTTTCTCGCGCGATCGAGTTCAGTTCTAGAGAATGGGGGGAGAAGTGGAAGCAGTTAACTTGTTTACTCTTTTTGGTAGTTGTCTGATTGAGTTGTAGAGAGCGAGAGGCTTGTGCTGCTCCCGTTTCTAATTGGGGGATCTTGGGGTTGGAGAGTAGTCAGATAGAGACTGTTCCATTAAAATTGTTTCCCTGTTTCATTTTACATTTCGCATTTTGGCTTTACATTTTGGATACATTGTTAGGACATTGGAGACGTCACTTGCTTAGGATGTTGTACGGTATATGAATGCAGCTCTCCTTCTATATCAGTCAGATTTGATGGCTGTTGAAACTTGAAAGTAAGGAAAATTTGGATGCACTGGCAGGACACTGGAGACATATCTTTCTTTTGCACCTAGTTGCTTTGCTTAGGATGTTAATGTGTTATACAGTACTAGTATATGGTGAATGCAGCTCTCCTTCTATATTAGTAAGCTTTGATGTCTCCATGGTCTGTAGGTGTGTTGAAAGCAAGGGAAATGTAATTAGATGGTAAGTGTTCCTAACACTGTTGTTCTATTGAACTCAGATGTTGCAGCGGAACTTCCGCGAGGGTGGAGGTGAAGATGGTGCAGGGGAGATGGAGGGTTGTGATGCAGAAAAGAAGCCCCGGATGCCACACATGTTCTGCAAAACTCTCACAGCATCTGATACAAGCACCCATGGAGGTTTCTCTGTTCCTCGCCGGGCTGCAGAGGACTGTTTCCCACCTTTGGTGATACACTTAAAAGAAAAACTTGTAACTTTTAATGTAACTGCTAAAATTCTGATATAGTCACTTGCATTGCTGCTCTAACCAGCTGTAGTTCTTCAATTCTTTGTAGGACTATAAGACAGTTAGACCTTCTCAAGAGCTGATTGCCGTGGACTTACATGGCACACAATGGAAGTTCAGGCATATTTATAGAGGTGCACGATTGGAACACATTTGTTTTAGATTTTGTGCTGTTGTCTTGTATACAATACACATGTCCGCTGTGTTTACTTGGAGAATTTAAACCACAATAGAGAACTTGGTATGCTCACTGCTTGTGCTTGTTTAAGGCCAAAAAGGAGGGTTCAAAAAAGATGTCTAGTGGTGGTAGATTTGGATAGGATGGACTAAGAAGGGGCTGCATTTCTAAAGTAGAAAACTATTGTAGTTGTGTCTGGATCATGAAGGAAAGTTGCCAATCCAATATACTAAAAGGAGAAATATTTTTTTCTATTACTTGGTAGTACGGAATTTGGAACATGTGTGTCCTTCTATGTTTGCTAATTTGATAGTATGAAATGAGGAATCTTTCTGGACTTGGTTGCTGAAGTGAGCTAAGAATTTGCAAAGGCGTTAAAGCACTTCGTAGTATTGAGGACTCATTGGATTGATTAGAGGCTCAAAGTTAACTAGCTAAGGTTAACATAATAAGTAAGGTGGATGTAATTTATTGTGCTGGAGGATCAGGTTTGTAATATGGCGTTTTTTACCTATTGCTGGCCACGAGTCTTGAAAATCTGTGTAAAGCAGTGTGAAATTTATAGATGATTTAAGCATCAGCACAACTAATTTCCTTCTTCAGATGTGCTACCACTTTTCTGGTTTTCACTATAAATCTATGCATTGCAGCATTTTTCTTCTCATTTACGTGAACTCTCAGTTTAATTGTGACGTGGAAAAAAAAACTTCTTGAATTTCAGGCCAGCCTCGTAGGCATCTTCTAACGATTGGATGGAGCTCATTTGTCAATAGGAAAAAACTAGTCTCAGGGGATGCTGTCTTGTTTCTTAGGTAAGCATATCATCTATCTAAGTGATGAAGTTAACTTCCTTTTGTCATTTGTCCTTTTTCATAAGCTTCAATTGTTATTTTTATACAGAGGTGATGATGGCCAACTAAGATTGGGTGTAAGGAGAGCAGTTCAACTTAGAAATGAGGCCCTCTTTGAACCTGTCAACAGCAGCGATTCAAAGCTACGCATTCTATCTTCTGTTGCCAGTTCCTTGGAAAATAAAAGTGTTTTCCACATTTGTTTCAACCCAAGGTTTGTGCAGACAAGTGCAAAATTTCAAGTTCCAGTTAATCACTGTTATGCTTGCATGGATAGTTAAAAGTCATAAAACTCCCTTCACAATTATGTAATCCTTTAGGGTTGTTCTTTTTCTTCCTTTACCTGATCATATATGGTAGTATGGTACATGAAACTTATACAAGAAAATGCCTTTTTAATGTAACTCTGGCATAGCTTGAGTGACTTGAAAGTAATTTCGGGTTTTCTATTCTCCCACAGGAGTGGTGCGTCAGAATTCATTGTACCGTATTGGAGATTATTGAAGAGCCTGAACCATCCATTTTCCATTGGAATGAGGTTCAGAGTTTGCTATGAGAGTGAAGATGCTAATGAGAGGTCTGCACTTTTAAGTCAACCAAATGGTATTAGTCTATCTCAAATCTCATGAAGTTACATTTTTGCTGTGCAGGTCCGCTGGATTAATTTCAGGCATTAGTGAAGTTGACCCCATAAGATGGCCTGGATCAAGATGGAAATGCCTACTGGTATGCATTTGAGATTGAGAATATCATACTTGTTTTCTGACTTGAGAGTTTTAGCTTATTCACTGAGTGCTAAGTTTGAATTTATTATTCGTTTTGAAAGTCAATTGTTTTAAAAAGATTCACTGCTTTTCTGATACTTTGTTCTGCTTTGATTCACTGCTAGCACCTGCTAAGCTCTGTCAAATATTAGACGTTTCAACTCCTGGCAACGTCTGTCAGAAGTAGGGGTGGGCATAAATCTCCCGAAAACCAACCACCGCACTGAACCGAACCAAACCGAAGTATCTTTTTTTGGGTGTTCAGATGATTGTGGTTATTGTTTTGATCTACTTTGGTGGTCGGTCTGTTCTCCGGTTTCCGCCTGCTGTGAACAGAACGCACTGAAGAAACCTGAAGTCCTCATGTGCGTTGTCGTCTAGGCATAACTGCCTCCTTGTTTCGTGCTATCTGGGAACATGAGCGTGATGCTCCGTTCTTTTGTGGATGGACGGTGGAGCCCATGGCCTTCCTGCGCTGTGTGCAATGCGTGCATGGCATGAGCCCACCTCTTGCTTCATGTGATTGGTACTTAGAGGGAGGAATAATGGAGGCATATGTTTCTTCGGTAAAAAACGGTGCCCCGAAAAAACCAAATCAAATTTGTTCAGTCTTTTTCCATCGGTTTTTATTTTGTTTGCACGTTCTTCGGTTGCTATTTTACGAAAACCGAACATTTTGAAAACCGATAAAACCGACCCGATTAAACTGGTGAAACCGAATGCCCACCCATAGTCAGAAGTAAGATGGATCTAAGAATCGCAAAATCATTCATTTTATGACTGCTCAAATCTCGAGTATGCAAGTAAGATCCTTTTCCCGAAGTAACATGTGGAGAAGAGTTGCCAATGGCCAAACCTGTATCTTATTTGTTACGTACACTTTTAGAGTCTAAAATGGAAAATGACACATAGTCAAAGTTTCCTTCTGTTTTGTGTCATGGAAGTTGATTTGAATCTGTAAAAAGCTTATGGTGCATTGTTTATGGCTACTCTGGCTTAGGTGCCCATAAATCTTTGATGAAGTGATGTGCTTCTCTGTTTGCATTTTTACAGGTAAGATGGGATGATAGTACAGATAGCAGCCACCAAAACAGAGTTTCTCCATGGGAGATCGAGAGAGTTGGTGGCAGTGTCTCGGTTACCCATTCCTTGTCATCTGGGTCTAAGCGAACCAAATTGCACTTTCCTCAAGGCAGTTTGGATACTCCATTTCTTAGTAGGTTCCACAGTCCCAACAGTACTATATATATAATTTCATTTACTCATGCATGTTAACTAATTTGCATTAAACTTGTAGATGGAAATGGTCACCCGGACTCCATGGGAACTGAAAATTTCCACAGGGTCTTGCAAGGTCAAGAATTTAGGGGTTCTAGGTCCCATGGTGTTGTATGCTCTGAATCACCTGGTGTACCAAACTTTCAATCTCCTGACAATAGGAGATTTTCTGCTGATATGCGGGGCTACATGATGCCAGCAAGTGGGCCCCCACAGCGGAACACAGAGTTTACTTATCAGCCCATAGGCTTCAGTGAGTCTCTTGGATTCCCAGAGGTCTTGCAAGGTCAAGAAATGTCACAAGTAGTTCCTTTGTTCCGAGGAGCTACTTTTGGCGCTCGTACACAGAATGACAGAGTTGTCTCTGCTAATTCTGTGCATAGATCAGCTGCACAGAGTGGATTGCTAGCTTCAACTCTAGGGCATCCCATCTCGCAGTTTACTCTGTCATCGTCAAAGGTATCTTCTCCCTCGTCGGTTCTGATGTTTAACCAAGCGACAGCTCCAAATCATGAAACAGTAAGCGGAACCAACAACAAAGGTATGCATGTCAGCCAGTTTGCTTCCCAGGAGATGCTCTCAGAAACTGTAACCTGGCCCGGCACACAACGTCAAACGCCGAGCGAAATCACGAGCAACCAGTTCGCCCTGGCGAGAATCCCAGCTCCTCCAAGCGGAGCTGAATCCGGATTGCCCAAGAGGGATGCCGGGAGAAGCAGCTGCAGACTGTTTGGCTTCTCCCTGACAGGCAACATGCTGGGAGAAGATGGAGAAGGCCTAGATGATGGAGCCATTGAAGCTGGTTGCGAAAACCCGCCCGTGCTGGAGCTGTTTGGGCACAGCCATTCTACTCCCGGTGCTCTTCATGCCCTGTGTGCTGCTGCTCCCCTGGGAATGTGATGCTGCTGCAGTACTGATGGTTTGCTCTGGGGAAATGGTCGTTGCATCAAGCTACCTAGCTGAAACAAACTGAATAATGTGTTAGCTACTTCCTAGATTTCTTCGGCACATTCTTGTAAGGATTGCAGCGGCGCCATTTGTATGTTGGTGCCACATGATGCATGTAAGACTGTAACTGTACCTTGAAATTTCGGCTGTTTGTCCGTAGCTTATGACATGAAGACTATGCAGAAGCAGATCCTCGAACTTAACTACACGTAGCATGCTGTATGACTATACGAGTCAACTGCACGTGCAGTTAAGTTGGAGTATCCTGATGGTGTTGTTTTGACAGTTGTGAAGCTAGGCCGCTAGGGTGTTACTTTTCAGCTACTTCACCGAATTATTATTGCAAATTATTTATTTTATGTCTATCAAAATATGTGTTTGCAAATTATTTATTTAATGTCTCTCAAATTATGTGTTTTAAAAGAAAAGCTTGTTCTTAACGAGATATACCCGTGCCACCGAAATGGTCATAATTTTTTTAAAAGAGTTATCAATAAGATACCACATGAGATATATCACTCCACAAATTTAATACATATATAAATTATAAAGTAAAAATAATAAAATTGCGAAAATCAATATTTTTAAGGGACGAAAACACTTTTTCCAACAGTGGTGTTCGTACTAGCTTCGGTAGTCTGTCACTTTAATTTGTCTGTTTTGATAGTGTGTCACTTTGTCAGTGGTGTAGAACTGTAGATGTTGGAGGATTGTTTGGATTCGCCGGGTGCACAACAGTAGTTGCTTGATACGGGCACCATGAAACATCAAGATCGATCACGTCAGTGACTAGTCGTCGTACTTGCCATTTTGCAACGTGTCCAATATTATGAGGTTTCGCCAACTCTATCGTTCTCACTGCACCACCCATCCACTCCCTCCTCATCTATCCATTGATTTTCATCGACCTAAGACAGGAGCGCAACATCCCTCCCTTGCTCGACACGACTCCCAGCGAGAGATTGCAAGATCTAGATCAATTGTTGCCACGCCAGTAACACCGTGTTTAGTTCCAAACTTCTAACTTTTTCATCACATCAAAACTTTCCTACACACGTAAACTTTCAACTTTTTCATAGCATTGTTCCAATTTCAACCAAATTTTTAATTTTGACATGAACTAATTAAACACAGTATAAATGAGAGAGGTAGTGCTCTATATCCCGTTAGCCCCATCAGTGGGGTCCATGGTGTGGCCCGGATTGAGGGGTTCTGATCATGGATCCAGTGACGGGGGCTGGGACCTCTCTCAACATGGCAATGACGATAGTGTCCTTATCAATGAAGTTTTTCTTGGTGGTTGCGTTCGATCTCTCTGTTTTGAGAGAGATTTTCGACGCACACAAAACAAAAAATTTCATTAGCACATAATTAATTAAATATTAATAATTAAAAACTTGAAAAATGGATTTATTTGAATTTTTAAAATAACTTCCATATAGAATTTGTTTTTAAAAAAAGTATCATTTAACAGTTTAAAAAACGTGCTAACAGAAAACTGAGTAAGTTGACGTTTGAAGTTGAGAAATAGAACTAGGCCCTCAACTATTACGAGGGTAGAGCATATAAGAGCTAGAGATTTGAGAAGGCTGCATTATTCCAGGTTCACCTTCTTTGGTGGCAAGGAGAAGCATGTTGTGTTGCAATAGTTTATATTTTAGCATCCTCATCGTTGCGGTTATACTTATAAGCTAAGATTTGAATTCTGAAACTTTTTTTTAAGTTGATTTTGTATTTTTTTCATTGTAGTTTATTTACAGCATTTGCTTTTGAATAGCTAAGAACATGTATATAAAAGTCTGGTATAGTCATTCAGCGGCAAAAGTTTTACCCACTTTAGCTCATCGTCCAAATTCAATGGCACTTCGGCAGTACTCCCTCCGTCCCACAAAAACCAATCTATTACCAGATATTATCCAGATTCGAAGTACTAGGATATGTCACATCTAATAATATTATTATGTTGATTTTCTACTAGACAGATGGATTATAATTATCTCCACCTCCCAACCATCATAATTAATGTGCATTATTGAGAAACACAAGTAACTACTGACAGTACTGATGCATACTCCATCGGTCCCCATAAAGGAGTCTAGGACTGAATGATGCATACTCCATCGGTTCCCATAAAGGAGTCTAGGACTGAATGTGAAACATTCTAGTACAACGAATCTGGATAAATATATATCCTGGTTCATAGTATTAGGATATGTCACATTTAATATTGGTGTGGTTTTTTATTAGACGGTGGGAGGAAGACAAATACAATACTTCTAGTGAGGAGACGGATCGATCTTGGAGAGGATAAAATTGGACAGGACGATGCAGGTTGATTAGTGGGCGATCGATCTGCGTAGAAAAGCAAAGCGAGAAATTAACATGAAATAGTATTCAAATTAACACGAGCGTTTAAAAGCTTCTGATCGATCTCCGTCATTTAATCTCCAGAAGCTATAGCTTGATAGGAATTCGGTCACTACTACCTAATCCTGACGATCGACCTGGATCACCTAACTTAATTCCTATAAAAATGGAGCATATATGCACCCCAAGTAGAGATGCACTTGAAAAGTAGCAAGGGATGTGTGGTCTTTACCTCTAAATCTCGTTTTTTACGCAAGTAAAAAACACTAAGTAACCAATCAATTAATTATTTTTAGGGGAAATTAATCATTTTTATTATGGAAGATGAATATACTAGTAATAATACAATTAATTACAGTTAATTAAATGATAGAAAGAGTTACTCCTACAGTAGTGACTTGAGTAGCGCTTCTTTTTTCCAACAAAAGTTAGATAAACTTTTGTATACTCGTGGCACGTTTTTTAAACTGCTAAACGGTGTGTTTAGTGCGAAAATATTCTATATGAAAGTTGTTCAAAAATATAAGATTAATCCATTTTTCAAGTCTGTAATAATTAAAACTCAATTAATTACATATTATTACCACATCTTTTTACGTAAAACACTTAATTTTTATCTTTATTTTCAGGAAATTCAAACACCGCCTAGGTGATGACATTGGATGCAGCTGGCATGTCCACGATCTATATATATGGTGTGTGTCCTCACTATCCGAAGGAAGACAGTGTTACGGGAGCATGGAGCTCACTGAGAGTAAGTGCGATGGCGGGCAAGAAGTTAGCTTGCTGGACGCTCAGCTCGAGCTCTACTGGAACACCTTCGCCGTCATCAAGTCCATGGCTCTCAAGTCGGCGCTAGACCTCCGCATCGCCGACGCAGTCCACCTCCACGGCGGCGCCGCCACCTTGGCCGAGATAGCCAGCGAGGTGGCCCTCCACCCGTCCAAGATCCCCTGCCTCCGCCGCCTCATGCGCGCGCTCACCGTCTCCGGCGTCTTCGCCGCCGCCGTCAAGCCCGGAGACGGTGGTGGTGGTGAGCCCGTGTACGAGCTCACGCCGTCGTCGCGGCTCCTCGTCGGCTCCTCGAACCTGTCCGGCATCATGTCCATGATCCTCCACCCGACGCTCGTCGTCCCCTTCCTCGGCGTCGGCGAGTGGCTCCGCCGCGACCGCGAGCCGCCGGAGGAGGACCCGTACTGCATCTTCAAGCAGGCGCACGGCCGGAGCCTGTGGGAGCTGGCCGGCCGCGACGCGGCGTTCGACGCGCTCATCAACGACGGGATGGTCTCGGACAGCCGCGTCATCATGGACTACGTCGTGAGGGAGCACGGCGAGGTGTTCCGGGGGATCGCCTCCCTGGTCGACCTCGCCGGCGGGCTCGGCGCGGCGGCGCAGGTCATCTCGAAGGCGTTCCCGGAGGTGAGGTGCAGCGTGATGGACCTCGGGCACGTCGTCGCCAAGGCTCCCGCCGGCACCGACGTCGAGTACATCGCCGGCGACATGTTTGAGAGTGTGCCACCGGCAGACGCTGTCTTCCTCAAGGTATATATATATGTTGGTCTCTCAAACCTGCTAACAATTCTCTTGATCACTGTATAATGTCTAATGCAACGTGACATCTCTTATGGGTCATGGGTTCAGTCAACAAATTTTTGATTGTTTTTAAAACAAATTGGTAGGAGAATCTTCGATTGTTTTTCAAAATAATAGAAGTTTTCATTGATCTTAGTCAATTACATCGCGGTGATGTAATTGCACCATGAACACTCCTAGCATCTACATAGCTAAGATATATAGACAAAGAGAGAGAGAGAGAGAGAGAGAGAGAGATATCTCAATGTATTAAAGAGATAGAAAAATGAATATGTTGTCTCAATGTTTGATGCATATTCAGTGGGTTCTACATGACTGGGGCGATGACGATTGCATCAAGATATTAAAGAACTGCAAGAAAGCTATCCCTCCTAGAGACAAAGGAGGAAAGGTGATAATCATGGATATAGTGGTCGGAGCAGGACCGTCTGACCAGAAGCACAGGGAGGTACAAGCGTTGTTCGATATGTACATCATGTTCGTCAATGGCATTGAAAGAGATGAGCAAGAGTGGAAGAAGGTTTTTATGGGGGCTGGATTTAGTGGGTACAAGATTATGCCAGTCCTGGGTTTTAGGTCAATGATCGAGGTGTACCCTTGAAGGTGACACCGGTGATTGTGATTGTGAAATCAATGATTGGTGATTAGTTGCTCGGTGGAGATGTGGAGTGTAGCATGTTTGTTTGTTGTTGTGAGATTCACAATAGTGATGATTGTGTGGGTGTGTTTTCTTGGTTGTATGTGAAATTGTGATTAGAATTCAGACCAATAATAAATTGTGATACTATGTTGTATCGATGTAAACTATAGGAAAACGACACGGGTGGACTATATTTATTCATGCATGCCTAACGTGTGCTCGTCAATTATCACGGATTTAATACTAGAAACAACAATGCAAAATCTTAAAAGCAGAATATAGCATCAAGATATAAATGTCACTGCAATCTATACAAGAATGCGCCACTATAATCTTGGAAGTGGCTAACACAGTATACAAAAATGGGGGAAAATGTTTTAAACTCACGAGGGGGATCCCTCTTTTGTTCAAACACCATTCAAATAGTTGTAAAAAATCTAAATAAAAAAAACTTGAAATCGTTCAAACCATGTACATAGACTACTTAAAAAAAACAAGTCAAAACTCAACTCATGCAATGAATAGTATTGATACTATTCACGTCTGAATTTGTGTTTTTCGTTTTTTAATTCATAGATCTAGTTTGAATATGACTTTTTTGTGGAGGGGTAAATGTTACTCTACTCTACACTGCCAAATTTTTTTTAGAATTTTTCCCATCCATTTACATTGAATTTGAGAGGAAAAGTTAGCATTTGTTTAAGGGATTAAGAATCCTCTCCCAAAAAATAGCGATTTACATCTAGGTATGTTAAAATAAGTTTCACTATGCACTAGGTTGCATCATATAATTGAAGATAATTCTTATAAAGTATGAGTACTATGTACAAATCGTTTTGTATTTAAACTATATTTCACAATGTTCGATTTAAATTTCATAATTTTTTTTATAGATTTTCATGATCATGTTAGGTGAAACTTACTCCCCTTATAAAAAATTGCTTAGACTCCAAGAGTGTTTTAGTGGTGAGGAACTGTTAACGCCAGAATTTGATAAGCCCCAAAGTCATCATCGGCCTAGAGTCAATATCGGCTTCAATGTTCTGAAATTGGTCGATGAGAATTATCAAGTCGCCAATAATTGGATTCTTAGTAGATTCAGTTAAGAAAATCAATCTATTAAAGGAAGTTTATCCAGAAGTGACCGAGTTGATGGAGTATGTGGCATGATAATTTATCTATTAATTAGAAAGAGTTTGTTAGTTTCCTTTTATCTTTAGGAAAGTGTGTTTAGTGTCCGATAATGACATTATGTTTTCCTTTTATATTTAGGAAAGTTTTTTTTCTTGTTTAATAAGGACTAGTATCTACCCATGGGTATAAATATATACACTCGGGGTCATTGTAAATTATCTCACAGATCAATACAACTATTCTCGGCAAATCACCACCCTCTTTCCCGAGGTTTTTACTTATCACGACAGAACGTGGCACCTGATGTGGGTCTTCTGCATCGATTTTTGATCTCTGGCGAAGGGTTAAGTCCTACGTTTTGCCGGCCCAGGCAATTGTATCGGCTACGTTGGTGTTGTTCAAGGCTACATCGCTTTGACTTCTTGGGTTGCTCTGGTTCGGTTGATATTTGTTGACGGTCGTTATCAATCAGTTTCAACCGTCAATACTACCAAAATAGAGGAGAACTAGTGATGCTTGCAATGCATAAATATGTTAGAATAATAATATTCCACTAGTATTAGGTATACTAACATTTTGTAGAGAATAACACTAAAGTGAAGGAGAATTGACATCAACATAGAAGATAAATCAATCGGATGATGTCGAGAACCAGACTTATGTATGAATGGGCTAAGAACTCAGAATTGACATGACAAACTGGGCCAAAATTCACAAGTCTACAGAGAAAAACAACGAAGGAGGCCACCAGCCGAAATTGGGCTGGATTGGGCCGGCCCTAGGTTCGGCCGAACCCTCCTCAGCGCCATCCGATCCAGGGCTTCGCCTGGACGGTGTGGATTAGCCCCCAATGACGGTTGGAGGGTATTTCCAACCATTCCAACCGTCATTGGGAGGCTATAAAAGGAGTTCTCATCCTCACTTCACTCACACACCTCAAGCAATAGCTCTCTCATTTATCTCAAGTTTAGTTTAGTAGTATCTAGTTGGTGGAATAGAAATAAAGTAGAAATCAGGAGTCCAGAAGTCTTCGGAAGAGTTCGGGTATGGCTCTAGTAGCTTTTCTCTTCTCTTTTGTAAGCTTTGTACTTTTATTAGAATACTCTTCTAAATACATTTATGGTATTGAAATACTTTCCGAGTATCTGAGTACCTACTTTACATTATGTTCATGTTATACTGAATATACGGCTAGCTTATCTGGGAGATGCTTTGGTGCATGTATAATGTTTGTTTATGCAATTACTCTGTCATGACGATGAAATTAGAGTAGTATTTGGTAGTTTAGACGTGGTGTCTAGATTACAAGATATCATTATTTGGGGTTATATATTGCGGATGAGAGGTGTGCCGCTGATGGTGACAGCTCAGTACGGGTATTCCTCCGCGCCAGTATATAATCCTAAGTTAATTCCCTGGGGAGGGTATTCCTCCGTATTTAGCCCCGGTTGTATGGTCATGACGGGCTGTCGTAAGGAACTCGGCAGCCAGGGGTGGCTTTTCGAAGTACCAGGAGGACATCAGATAGAGGGTATTAGCTAGTATATTGGTTAACTAGGTATGTATACTATGTATATTAGAAGTATAGAAATATATTTTCTTTCTCTTTTCTTTCCACTTAGCCTAGATAATATATTATGAGAATGAGTAGTAATGCATGTGTGTCACTCTACCCTTGGATTATCTTAACTCCTGCTTAGAATATGATTATCACAAGTAATATATAAATTATTAGTCAATGTTCCTCTACATGATTGCAATGATGCATTCTTGTATGGATGGCAGCGACATTTGTATCTTGATGCTACATTCTGCTTTTAAGATTTTGCATTGATGTTTCAATTATTAAATCAATGATGATTGACGAGCATGTGCTTGGCATGTATAAATATATATAGTCCACGTGTACCGTTCTACTATAGTTTACATCACATACAACGTAGTACCACACTTTATTATTGGTCCAAATTCCAATCACAATTTCACATACAACCAAGAAAACACACCCATACAATGATCACTATTGTGAATCTCACAACAACAAACAAACATTCTAACAGTCCACATCTCCACACACCAACTAATCACCAGGGTCGCCTTCAAGGGTAGACCTCGATCATTGACCTGAAACCTAGGATCGGCATAATCTTGTACCCACTGAATCCAGCCTCCACAAAAACCTTCTTCCACTCTTGCTCATCTCTTTCGATGCCATTGACCAACATGATGTACATATCGAACAACGCTTGTACCTCCCTGTGCTTCTGGTCAGACGGCCCTGCTCCGACCACTATGTCCATGATTATGACCTTCCCTCCTTTGTCTCTAGGAGTGATGGATTTTTTGCAGTTCTTCAATATCTTGATGCAATCGTTATCGCCCCAATCATGTAGAACCCACTGAATATGCAGCAAACATTAAGACAACAAAAAAAATGTAAATATATTTCTCTCTCTCTCTCTCTCTCTCTCTCTCTCTCTATATATATATATATATATATATATATATATATATATATATATCTTAGCTATGTAGATGTTAGGAGTGTTTATGGTGCAATTACATCGATCAATGGATGTACTCCCTCCGTTCTAAAATGTAAGCATTTTTAGTTATGAATCTGGACAACTGTGTGTCCAGATTTATAGTCAAAATTTGCTATATTTTAGGACGGAAGTAGTAATTGACTAGGATCAATGAAAACTTTTATTATTTTGAAAAACAACCGAAGATTCTCCCGCCAGTTCGTTATAAATTTGTTGGTTCTTCGTTATGGACTAAACCCATAAAGATGTCACGTTGGATTATACATTAGACACTGATCAAGAGAATTGTTAGCAGGTTTAATTAATTTTGATAGACCGACATATATATTTTATATATACCTTGAGGAAGACAGCGTCTGCCGGTGGCACACTCTCAAACATGTCGCCGGCGATGTACTCGACGTCGGTGCCGGCGGGAGCCTTGGCGACGACGTGCCCGAGGTCCATCACGCTGCACCTCACCTCCGGGAACGCCTTCGAGATGACCTGCGCCGCCGCGCCGAGCCCGCCGGCGAGGTCGACCAGGGAGGCGATCCCCCGGAACACCTCGCCGTGCTCCCTCACGACGTAGTCCATGATGACGCGGCTGTCCGAGACCATCCCGTCGTTGATGAGCGCGTCGAACGCCGCGTCGCGGCCGGCCAGCTCCCACAGGCTCCGGCCGTGCGCCTGCTTGAAGATGCAGTACGGGTCCTCCTCCGGCGGCTCGCGGTCGCGGCGGAGCCACTCGCCGACGCCGAGGAAGGGGACGACGAGCGTCGGGTGGAGGATCATGGACATGATGCCGGACAGGTTCGAGGAGCCGACGAGGAGCCGCGACGACGGCGTGAGCTCGTACACGGGCTCACCACCACCACCGTCTCCGGGCTTGACGGCGGCGGCGAAGACGCCGGAGACGGTGAGCGCGCGCATGAGGCGGCGGAGGCAGGGGATCTTGGACGGGTGGAGGGCCACCTCGCTGGCTATCTCGGCCAAGGTGGCGGCGCCGCCATGGCGGTGGACGGCGTCGGCGATGCCGAGGTCTAGCGCCGACTTGAGTGCCATGGACTTGATGACGGCGAAGGTGTTCGAGTAGAGCTCGAGCTGAGCATCCAGCAAGCTAACTTCCTGCCCGCCATTGCACTTGTTCTTACTGAGCTCCAAGCTCCCCATGACATGCACTGCCTTAATTAGTTTGATCTGTGTCTTCTCTTCAGACAGGGAGGACACACCATTTATATAGATCGTGGACGTGCCAGTTGCACTCGATCAATGGCATCACCTACTCAATGGCATCACCTGTATTTGAAATCCTCTTAAAATACGTATGTCCGAAGACCACTCTCCTAAATTTTCATACACATTTGCCACCCGGACCCACATGCCAGCCTCATCATCATTCGAAAAAATGAGATGTGGGACCAGGTAACGGCTGAGACTGACATGTAGGCCTAGGTGGCAAATGTGCATGGAGATTAATTTGGGAGAATGGTATTTGGGCATGTGCATTTCAGTAGGAAGTTGCTACTTACTTTTCTAGAATTTATAACTAATTATTGTATTACTATTCATCTTCCACTATAAAAATATTAGTTTTCCTCTAAAAGTAGTTAGTTAATTAATTAATTATTAGTGTCGTTTTACATGTGATGCACATGCTCCATTATTATAGGAAGTTGGGTGATCCAGCTCGATCGTCAGGGTTGGCCGGATTTATAGGTTGCTCTAGCTTTCGAAGATTAAATGACAGATAAAAAAGCTTTAAACGCTCGTGTTACATTGAATACGATTGCATGTCAGATTCTCGCTTTGCATTTCTATGCACATATATGTATTATTGTATATACTATAAGGATTCATCAGATCTTATGCACCTACTGTTGATTTCGTGTGAATGCAGCCTGAGCTAATTAACACAAATTTTGCCCCATATATTTGGTAATCAGAGAATTCATTGGTCCATTTAGCACGTACTCCCTCCCTAAAATAAGGTAATTTCTAGAATTTAAATTTGTTTGAAAATACGGGCCCGTTCATTTCATCAACTCGAGTGAGATTTAGTTTTTCATGATACGGAAAACTGGAAAGGTCATTAACGAGTGATTAGTTAGCTATTAACTATTATAACCTTAAAAATAGATTTATTTTTCAAAGAAAAATCTATATATAAAGTTTTTTTTTTCCCACGAAACATATAGTTTAATAGTTTGGGAAACGTGTTCACGAAAAATGAGTGAGTTGCTCATGAATCAAGCTGGTTAATTTCTAACCCCTTATTTATACTCGGTCCACAAATAAAAAATATTTCTCCTTTTTTTATCTATTAACCCACTAATACTACTTTCCTGGTATTAATAAGGGGCACTTTAATCTATTTTCCTTGTTATTAAAGTTTTTTTCATTTAGAATGCACGAATGAGAAGTATGCGTGCAGTGTGCATGCATAGTAATGATGTGTGCTCGTATATATGTCTTTCATTTAAGAGAGAAATATTCAAATGGTAGTGCATAGCTAGATCATCATGCTGCTGAATCGATATCGTAAGTTCGTAACAACGTTTGCCTCAAAAAGAAAAAAAATCGTAACAACGTTAGTGACAACAACCAAGCTAGGATCAGTGAACACGACCAGGTAGTACAATGCGTACATAAACAATACATATGTAGATATCACGTGTGTCGGGTGCATGCAGCATGCGTTCCATAGGATAATCGGACTTCGGAGAGAATTGATTTGCCATCTCATCAGACATCGCTGATAATCGGGGGGTCCCATGTTTATGGGAGTGGATTCTAATCTCTCGAGGAATATGTCTCCTCGGTACTTTTTCTATAAAAATTTCTGAAAAATAATTAACATGATGTGTATCGGGTCACCAAGAACCAAGTTCAGACGATTTACACATCGATAAAAAAAAGTAAACAATACGCCACTATTTATACGCTGAAAAGTTTTTTTTTAATATCTCGATGTGTGAGTTTAATTTGGACTTAAGATTATGTGGAGTTGTATAGATATGTTATATGAGTGTTGTTAACTTTTTTCAAAAAAAATTATAACCGTTTGGATGATTTTTAAGAAAACGAGAGGACATTTCTCAAGGGATGAAAATAGTTTTCCCATGCATGTTTTTGCATGAAATCGTTATACTTTCAGATGAACATATATCTCCTTGTTGATCTATGCATATATAATCTTCTTAATTGATCATTTCTTTTCACTGTTTCAGGGACGAAAAAAAGCCCTGGCCAATATTATTGAAATTGAGAGAAGGTAAAACATTTTACAACAAACATGGTTGTTGATGTACCGCCCGTTCAATGGGAGAAACGGGGCACCGCAAAGATAGAGCTACACAAATTACACACCCAGGCCAAGCTGCAACATCAATGATGCTCTTTAAACAGGTATTAGGAACACATAGAACTCTCCCAGGGATCACCGCATATTGCTTCAGGCTTTCTTCTGAGTAGAAGGGGATTAAGGAGATTGAGAAGATACGCAAAACGAGATGAGCCATTAGCTCATGATTAATTAAGTATTAACTATTTTAAATTTTAAAAATGGATTAATATGATTTTTTTAAAGCAACTTTTCTATAGATTTTTTTTTTTGCAAAAAACACATCATTTAGTAGTTTAAAAAACGTGCGCGCGGAAAACAAGACTCAATCTCCCCTATCACCCTGGAACGAACAGAGCCTAAGTCGTGTCTAGGATCTCTTCAATCACAATACCTCCCAAACCAGCTACTTGCCAAGCCCAACCATCCCTCCGTAGCACTCCAAGTCACTTCCGTGGGTGATTTAGTTGGTCCCTCATTGTGCGAAATTGCTAGTTCGCGACCGTGTCGCGCGTGGAGAGGGGGCTGCAGACAGCGCGTTGGCTCCCCTTTTTTCCCCTTTTTTTCGGTTTTTATTCGTACCTTCTGTTTTAGTTTTTTTTTCTGTTTTTTTCTTTCAGTATTTTTTCGGTTTTAATACGTACGTATGATAACTTTGTATACGTACAAATAATACGCGTATATAGAGTTTGTATACATGTATTTTTTGAGTTTTATACATAAGTATTACCAATTTTTTATACACGTATACCAAGTTTGTATACACATATATAAAGTTCGTATATACATGTATTTTTTGAGTTTTTATACAGACATATACCAATTTTTGTATACACGTATACAAAGTTTGTATACACATATATAAAGTTTATATACACGTATTTTTTAGGTTTTTTATACGTACACACAAACTTTATATACATGTGTTTATTTTTTTTACATTTAAAGTGTATACATATAAAAAAATTATATTTATATATACATACGTGTGTGTCTATATATATATATATATATATATATATATATATATATATATATATATATATATATATATATATATACACACCGTATAAATTTTGTATATACGTATACAAAGTTTATACGTATGTATATATAGTATGAGATAATCCATAAAATGCCATTGACAAGCGTCCAAGTCCCAGAAATGCCATCGACAAGTGTGAGTTCTAAGAAATGCCATCGTACAAACGATTTTGTCCCAAAAATACCATCGCCGTTAGGGTTCCGTCCATTCCACGCCGTTAAAGTTCTATAGGATGAACAGTGTATTTAACGGCGCGGAATGGACGGAACCCTAACGGCGATAGCATTTTTGGGACAATCACTTGTACGATAGCATTTCTTGGAACTCACACTTGTCGATGACATTTCTGGGACTTAGATGCTTGTCAATGGCATTTCATGGATTATCTCATATAGTATATACATGTGCTGTAGAGAAGAGAGACTAAGAGAGAAAAAAGTGACCGTGCGCCGCGCGGGGGGCGCGACTGGTCGCTAATCAGCGCCCCCCTCCCTCATTGTGTGCTCCATACCTAGAGTGCTCCATAAGATGGCATTACGTACATATCGATTTTAAAATTAAGGCAAAATTTATTACAAGACACTAACAAAAATTATGGTATTTACTAGCGGCATTGCAAGGATGTGAATTTACTCAAGGACACTAAAAAAAATATAGTAATTTGCTAGCAGACATAGTACGCATTATTTTATAATTTCCTACCAATTTGGAGAGAGAATTTTTGTAAATTGACAGCTTTGCCTATGGGATCAAATTTCTTTCCCAGGTATCTTGTTTGACCCAGCATAAGCTTATGTATGTCGGTAGCCGCCAACGACGCCTTGGTTCTGAGCCAATAAATCAAGTCATCTGCCCTTATACTATCATCACTTATCGGATGGCAAGAGTAGTCTGGCGGCATTGGGCCGCTAGGTGGCGGTGATTCACGCTACCTCTAGGTGGTGGAAGATCAGCATGGAGGTGGACACGATCCACGACTACAGGGGACATGAAGTCTTTTGGCTCAATTAACATTGCTATTTATTTGTTTTATTTAGATATTCTTAAAGTAGACTATTGATAATAATTGTATTTCTAGGATTTAAATTTATCCCAAAATAATTGTTACCATAGAGTACTAATTATCACATTAATTACTCTCCATTCAAATTTCTCCTTATTATACCCTTAATCACTCTTTCACTATTATTTATACCCCATTCAATGAGGGTCATTATAATCTTTCCTCTGAAATCTTAATATATGCTAAACAATTTAGAATTATAATTATTTTGGGATAGAGTACTAATTCGTAACAACGTGGGTTCGATAACTTATCCACAACAGTTAGTTTATCAAACTAATTCTGATCCGCTTGTTATAGACACACTATTAACAAAACGTTCATGGCTTTTATTCTGTACTCTATTCTCTATTGGTTTTTCAAGTCTGTTAAAGTGTTCTCAAGAACATAGTTCTACTTCTATCAAAAAAAAAAAAAGAACATAGTTCTACTTGTGAAATCTATATTTTCCATAAGCCATATATTGCGGTCAAAAAGGAAAGGAAAAGGAAATAAACCTTCTCAAGGACTTTGCTCACCAAATTTCGTCAACCGAAGGAGAGTCCTCTTCTTCGCCCACCAAACCCCATTCCAATCACACCGCCGCCGCCGCCACTTTGATCGGCAGGATGGCCGGCGATCCGGCCGCCGGCGGCGACGGCGGCCGTGGCTCCTCAGGCGGCAAGGGCTCGTCCCCCTCCTCCTCGCGGCACCAGCAGTTCCGCAACCTCGCCAAGACCCGCGTCGACGACCTCCAGGAGATGTTCTCCGGCCTCCAGTCCGCCCGCAAGGAGAGCCGCTCCGCCGACGCCGCCCTCCTCGAGGAGCAGGTCCACCACATGCTCCGGGAGTGGCGCGCCGAGCTCAACGTCCCCTCCCCCGCCTCCTCCCTCCAGGCAATCCCCCCAAACCCTAGCTTCCCCCCTTCCTCCTTTACTTGTGCAGTAGATTGATGCTGACTCCGAACTGTTGCGCCGCCGCAGAACTCTCAGTCGCAGGGTAACAACCGGGAGGCGTCGGATCCGCCATCGGAGACGCTGCGGTTGCTGCAGCTGGCCGGGGCCGAGGAGGAGGATGACGCCACCAGCAAGCTCGTGATGCCGCGATCGCCTATGCCGATGCAATCTTCTCATGAGGGCCATAATCTCAGCCCCGTGCTACAGGGGGGGACTATGGCGGGGGGAGCCGCTGAGCTGATGGTTCCCCGATCGCCGCTGCAGCAAATGCCATCTTCTCATCAGAGCCATGGGCATGGGCAGGATGGCGGCCAGAATCTGCAGGGTGAGGCTGTCATGGGAAGTACTGCTGCTACTGCTGCCCCGCATCTGGGTCAGGGAATGCAGGGCGATTGCGGAGGAATGGCTGGTGTTACCAATGCAATGTTCCATGATCAGGTATTGGATTTTAACAGGTCTTCTTTTCATTTCATCGATGAGTGGAAATTGTTTGATTCTGTGATATTGATCGTGTTAGGGAGCTTATAGGCAAGGCTATTCTGTCAGTGAGAGGTTTACTTTGTGTTGTTTGTGGAGTTCACCTTTATGAGCTTGCTCAATCGTTCGCTAATACTGTCAGATGCTTCATGCAATCCTTCGCAATATTGTAGTTTTGTTGAGGCAATTTAAACTAGCAGAATGGTTCATTGTGCTTTGTTATCCTTGTTGCATTTTAGGCTTGGGCATTCAGCCAAGCAGGACACACTTTTTTACTACATACAGCGTTTTTCTGCAACTGCCAACTATTCCTTAGTATTCCCCAGAAGAAGTTAATTGCTATTTTATATGTAAGGTATGAAAATGCATCTTTTAGCAGAACAATCCATTCGATTTGAACCATTAACTCTATTTGCAAATAACAGAATTGCTTTTCCGAGGCTTGGACTATTTACAATTCATTTTTCCTTTTCAATATATTTCTCCCAAAATTGTAATATAGCATGTGCCAATTTTGGATGTAAGTTTATGTATGCAAACTAACTTCATTCTGCTTTAGATGAGATTATTAGATCTGGCAATGACCTCTATTAGTGTGTTATTTGTCTAGTCTTGGGAGGAGCACAAGCCACCAGTCACAACTCGACAGTGTCTTTTTTTGTGTACTTCTTGATTTAACTTGGATGTCCAATGCTTGAGTGCTGTACTTAAGTATGCTAGCTTCAGCAAATCTACTGTTCAATGATGAGTAATGTGTTAGTGTGTTGTGTTATTTGTGTAGCTTTCTGAGGAGCACAAGTCCACAAAGTTTAACTTGTTCCATGGTTAACGTAAGTGTAAGTAGGAACTAATAATGGCCTCCTGAAGATGCATGTTGAGGCAGCGTGATATACCTTGCTCCAGTGAAACCAAATTTCCAAAATTTGTTTTATTTGCTAAATGTCTTTCTGAATTTCTGATCCAAATTGGTCGGTGTTCAAATTTTAGTTTTGTTAGGGTGTTCTCATTAGATGATGGATGAAACTGAGTTTACAACAATTATTCGAGGGAAAAAAACAAATGAATAAATATTAGAAAGTTGACAAGCTGATTTTAAAAAGTTTCCTTAGAAATGCTGATGAAGAAAGTTTCTGCAAAAATTGTACCATTTAGGAGCTTGGGAAGCATGGCCACAATAATCCATAATCCGTAAGCTACTGAGAATGCACCTAAAATGTTTCTTCTTTACCACCTAATGAAGACATATGTGTTTCAGGATATCTTTTTGATGCAGCTACGCTTTGTTTGTTTTGTGTGCCTTCGAGCATGCAAATTGTGAATCTCACAATGTGCTGGTCAGTATATGCATGCATGCTATCTGTTATCTGTATATAATATTTCATCTGTTTGGTGGTTGTAACCTGCACGTCCTGTTAGTGTTCATGTTGGTTTTGTTTTTTCCCTGCTGACTGCTTTTTGGGCTAAGTCTATGTTCCCTTTGATTGCAGCTGTACTATATAGATCATGAACTCAACATTGATGATTTTCTTCAAGATGATGATTATAAGATAAATCTTCCTGGCTCAAACCCAGACGGCCCCAATACCATGCAGGGGATTGGTCAGCTGGAACATCAACAGTACAACCTGCCATTAGATCTGCCACCTAACTCATTTGTTGATGCAAATAACTCTGCGCAGAGTTCTGGAGATGTTTTTTTCCACATGTCAGACTTGCTCACAACAATGTGCCCATCACCTTCTCAATATTTGGGGCCAAAATGTGCACTCTGGGACTGCGGTCGACCTGTTCGAGGATCAGATGAGTGTCAACATTACTGCAATCCTTACCATGCCGGTTTAGCTTTGAATGATGATGGCCTTCTAGGGACTAGACCTGTGATGCGTCCAAGGGGGATTGATTTGAAAGATGGCCCTCTGTTTGCTGCTCTTAGTGCAAAAGTCCAAGGAAAAAATGTTGGTATTCCTGTGTGTGAAGGGGCTGCAACTACAAAATCTCCTTGGAATGCACCTGGTAAGTTTGGCCATGTTACTTTTATCCCGTTGTTGAATAGTTATATCAGCATATTATTGTGCTAATTATTGTTTTCATTCTGTTCTGGCAGAGCTTTTCGATCTATCTCTTCTTGAAGGTGAATCTCTTAGAGAATGGCTATTCTTTGACACACCAAGACGGGCATTTGATAGCGGCAATCGGAAGCAAAGGTCATTGCCAGATTACAATGGCCGTGGATGGCATGAATCAAGGAAGCAAGTGATGAAAGATTTTGGAGGTCTGAAGAGGTCCTATTACATGGATCCACAACCATCCAGCAACTATGAGTGGCATCTTTTTGAATATGAAACCAATGATTCTGATGCTCTAGCGCTGTATCGGCTTGAGTACAAGTCTTCTGATACTAAGAGGAGTGTTAAATCAAAATTGGCAAGCAGTCCACTGAGTGAAATACAGCAGCAAATGGTCAGGCTTAGTGCAGACAGTCCTGTGGAAAGCAAACGGACTGCTAGGAGCAGGGCAAAGGCTAATCAAAAGGATAACAATTCAAACGCCTATCCAGCTCTCAATACCCCTGTTCAAGTCAGTGCTTCAAATGCTCATCAAACAATGTCTGTCAACACCCCTGATCAGGTCAATGTTTCAAATGCATATCAAACAATGCCTCTCAACACCCCAAATCAACCCGGTCCTTCTAATGCTTATCATGCAGCATCACAGATGGACCAGATGACGTTTCTGGATGGCAGTGTTGTTTATGGACCTCATCTTCCATATGGATACTCCACCGAAAGAAGCGATTTCTACTGGAACCCTAGTGACGGGACATGAAGATAGCATATTGGGTTTCATACATTCTACTGCATCTGTCAGCTGGGAATTTTAACAGCATCAGCTAAATTATGGGGCTCAACAGTGTGGCCCAAAAGTTTTCTGATTGTATGACCTCTTTTAAAGATGGCATGTTTGCAATACAGTGCTATACTTTGCATTAACACTTGACTGTAAAAATATATCCCAGCACGCCCTAGCTCCTGTTGATGGCAAGTTAAATGGTCAAATGGCTTTTACCAGGAACCAATGCTGCTGTGCTGGGTGTATTTTTAGCTTAGCCTGAAGCCTTATGAAGTTCTGAACTTCTGAAGGTTTCGTTTTATCCTTTGTATATACCCTGATTTTCTGAGGCGTTGTGGCATCCCAGATTTGCCTTTCCGTTTCCATATGCTTCATGTCGAATAACTCGACGCGCTGCTGTGGAAAATTAAGTTGCATAATATGTATAAGTAAAATGTATTTTTATTACTAAAACTAAAACAATTTGATACAATTTTGAGCCGAAAAATAATTAAGATTGCATGTTTTTATGAGAGAAGAAATAAGAGACAATTTAGACCATAAATATGTCATCCAAAGATTAGAAATAATTTGAATGATTGCTTAATGAGAAAAGAGAGAAATAACATTAATTACACTTAGTAGGGATGAGCTATGTAAGCATATATAAGTATATAGGATTAGGCAACACATTGGTTCCGTGCAAAAGAGTACATTTGGATGATTAAGCTAGTGAAAAAAAAGAAGGAAAAAGATTCATCCTTCTGCATTTGTGCATTGTCCCCCGTCTTCTTGCGATGGCCTCTGCTCCTCCTCGTACACGTTCAGCGGCATTGGCGCCTGGACCTCGCCGCCGTGCGTCGTCGCCGGCAGCAGCTGCATTGGCGCCTGGAGCTCGCCGCCGTGCACCATCGCCGGCTGGTCATTGTTCATCATCGGCGGCAGCTGCATTGGCGCTTGCGGCTGGTAGTTGTTCATCATCACCGGTAGCTGCTGCATCGGCGGTGGCGGGTCGTCGAACGGATCGAACACCCAATCGTCAAACGGCAGCTGCTGCATCGGCGCTTGGGCGATGTGCACCGGCGTCCACTGCGCCTGGTGCATGTGCATCGGCGCGTGGCCGCCGACGTGATGCACCGGTCGCCGCTGCGGTGGCGCTTGGCCGACGAGCACCGGTCGCCGCTGCACCGGCCGCGGCTGGAAGCTGTGCGCCGGCGACGGCATGCAGTTGTGCTGCATCGTCGGCCACCGCATCTGCGCGCGGTTGTTGTGCACCGGGAATCCTTGCTGAAATGGCGCGTGGCCGCAGAACGTCGTCGGCGGAGGCGGGAAGTTGTGCATGAGTGATAGCCCCTGCATTGGGACTTGGCGGTTGCCCATCGCTTGCGATGGCCCGCCGTCACATGGCGTCGACGGTGATGGTGGCAGCCACGGCCGCTTCGACGGCTGCTCGGCCACCGCCGCCGCCGCCACGGGCCTCTTGCCCGCCTGTTTCGCCGACCGCATGTCTCCCTCCGCCGCCGCCGCATCCGCATTGTCGCTGCCCTCCGCCGTCTCGGGACCCAAGTCGAAGACAGCGCAGGCTTCCGCCCACTCGTCGATGTCCTCGCCGCCGCCGCCGCCGCCGCGGACGACTTCGGCTTGCTCGCCGTCGTCTGCGCCTTTCTTCGGCGACGTGTAAATCCTGCACAACACGTACTGATCCAGCTGCCGCTGCAAGAACAAGCTCGATTTGAGCTACAGCGATTAACCCAAAAAAAAAAACAAGAACACAAGAGGCGGCTGACCTGGTTGCTGCTGCCGCCGGCGGCGGCGGTCTTGTCGAGCTTGTTCTCGAAGTGCGGGATGGTGAACTCGCGCATCAGCCACTTGGTCTTCTTCTCCGTCTTGACGGGGCCCTTGAAGTAGACGAGGCTGGTGACGCAGAACTTGACCCAGCCATAGCACTCCGTGATCGGGTCCTTCCCCTCCGTCTTCCCCGTCGACGCCTTCCACCGCCCGGCCTTGTCCTCCGTGCTCCGCGACGGCCGCTTCCCGTTCCTGTACTTGCGATCCCTCGGCGACAGGAAGTACCACCCCTCCTCGCCCTCGCCGGCGACGCCGCCGTTGCACTTCTCTGCACGCCATTGATCCGATCAAGATCACCAAGAAACAAGAACAACTCGATCAAAGAAGAAGAAGAGGAGCGCACCATTGATGAGCCGCTCCGGCTCGAACTCGTAGACGTTCTCCACGACGATGGCGGGGTTGGGCACGGGCGGCCGGCCCTGCAGCCGGGGGAGAAGGTAGTACTCCACGGCCTCCGCCTCCCTCGGCTTGAACCTGAACCCCATCTCCCCTCCGCCGCCGCCACCGCCGCCGCTACTCTCCCCCTTTCCTAATCCCGCCATGCCGATCGCGCGCTCTCGGACGCCGTGCCGGTCTCGAGTTCGTCGAGGAGACGACGCGGAAGCTTCGATTTCGCCGGGACGCCGAGGAGCTCGAGACCCTTCCACCTCCGTGTCGTCACCGGAAATCATTTTATACTCTCAAGAACACACACGAAGAAGAAGAGTTCGAGACGGTTTTTGCGGAGACCGGTCCGGGCCAGACCGGGAGACCGGTTTGGGCCGGATGGGCCCGGGCCGGTTCGGGCCCGGATGGCTCGGCCTATAAAAGGCGCCGCGGCGAGGAGGCGAAGCAGAAACCCCCGCCGCGGGAGGAGGAGAGCAGTCGCCGCAGTAGGGCTTACGTCGCCGCCGACGAGCTCCATGGCGAGGGGAAAGTTCAAGGGCAAGCCCACCGGGGAGCGGAGCTTCTCCAGCGAGGAGCAGATCGGTAAGCTACGAGGCGGCGGTGTGCCCCACCACCACCACCCTCCCCTCTCGCCGCCGTACGGCCGTTTGGCTCGCAATCCTCGCGCGTCGGATGCTTTTTGGGTTTAATAAGTAGGGAGATTTGGTTGCTTAATTGGAGTGTCACTGATCGACAGAGTTTGTGGGATGAATGATGCTTGGTGTTTCGCTTGAACGAGGTGGCTTGTTCCGGGCATAAAACCCTCCTTTTTTTTGAAGAGGGGGTTGGGGTTTTCAGATCGGGCGATCGGGAGCTTGTTGCTCTACCATCGCAGTGTTTGGTTTGATCCCACATTGTGTGTATTTCTTATTATTATTGAGAATTTGTCATGGTTTGCAAGCAGTTTGTGCTTTGTTTTGTGGGAGAGAGGAGGGTTTAATTTGTTCTTTTAGGTTTGAAGTATTGTTTGTTTTTCACTGTTCTATTGATGTCTCTCGTAGTAATCCGTGGGTATGTTCATCCATCCAGATTCCTAAGGCTCGTGGTTTGCGGAATCGGCTATGAAGAGCTCGGTGTAACTTGTAGAATTGTTGTGTTTATGATTTTTTGAGCACTTTGCCAAATTTTTAACTGCTGGACAATCAAAGAAGAACTTGGTGTTGAATAATCAAGAAGAAAGTGTGCGCGTGTAGGGATTCGAACACGGGACCTTGGGGTAGAGAGATGCACTTGATAGTGCTGTGGCAAGGGGTGTGTGGTTTCAACCCCGAGGTCTTGTGTTCAATCCCCAACACGTTCACAATTTCTTAAAAAATATATTTGGAGGGATGTCTCTCCCTCCAAATCTCGTTTCTTTTTTGGGACCATGGGGATGAAACCACACACCCTGCCACGACGCTAGCATTAAGTGTAGTATTTTGAGAATTAAGATGGAACTTTGGGCGTCATGTTGAGTGTCATTTATTTTTGATATCTCACGAATTTGGAGCTAGTTGCTTGCTGCCTCTGCATCCTAATGGAATAGAAAATGGATAGTTTTTACACTATTTGATCAATGTTTTGAGCTTATTTCTGTATTTTGAATGCAGCTGCCGGTACTTCAGCAGGTCGTCCAAAGAACTTTAAGAAGGTTCATTCATGCCCTTTTCTTTTCTACCTAGTTATTGATATTAAACATAACATTTAGCTTGCTTCGTTATTTCTCTCTTATGCTGTGCAAACATATAAAATTTTTGGCTAGGCTGCAAGCCTATAAAAAAATACTACTTATTATTAAATTGTTCTGCTACTTTTTTTTTGGACCAACTTCTCTTTTCATTACCATGATAAATCAATGGATTTCTGATCAATAACCAATTACCATAGTGGCATAAAGCATTTCTAGCCTCTTTGGAGTCCTGTAAAAGCATTTTTTTTTGTCAAATTGTGTTGAGACTTGAGCCCCACAGTCTTAGCTATAATTTTGCTTTGAACCAAGGTGTGCATGTCATAATGTGCTTATGATTTGATAAACTGATATGCTGCTTGTTGCCACTGTCTTGTATCATTAAATCAAATAGAAGCAATCTGAAAAGGAGGTATATGATAGAAGGCAAGAATCAGATGAGGAATATGATAGAAGCCAAGAATCAGATGAGGAAGAATCTGACAACTTCCAGAAGAACGTAAGACATTGTCCTGCTGAAAGCATGCATTTGCCCTCCTTTGACCCTTCATTGTCTAAACTATTTATTTCTTATGTGATAACTGTTCTATTTTTCAATATTATATCAGAAACATAAAGGCACTGAAGGTCTTATCGAGATTGAGAATCCAAACCTGGTGAAACCAAAGAATATAAAAGCCAAGGACATTGATGTAAGTCAAATATTTGTTTCTGTTCATGATGGAGGTAGTCTGGTAGCGATGCAGTTCTGAGGGGAAGAACATTTACAGGTCACAAGTTATATACAGAGTTAGACTGTACGTCTGCTTTAGTAATAGATTTAGCTTTTTTTTGTGTCAATTCTATTGAGTGAGGTGCACAAGTGAATATTCAGTAAAGTTATGCTAGAATGAGTGATTTTACTCCATGTACTTACCATGCCTTTCAGAATGTTATCGTCCTTGTACTTCATTGTATGTGTGGGCTTTGTGATACTGCTACTGTTATACTCTTTTCAATTAAGTGTACAAATTTGATTCATTTTTGTGTTTATATGACTACTTGACTAATTTTGCTCTGGTACAGATTGGTAGGACATCTGATCTCTCCAGGCGTGAAAGGTGGGTTTGTGTACTATGCAATGCTCCTGTCAATTTAAAAGTATTTTTCCTTCATGTGTAAATTAAGTGAAAAATATAATGTTGAATGTCAACAGCATAGGTGTAAGTTTATAAGGACTGCCTACAGTTGACATCATAGAGGGATGGCTGGTAGGACCATCTCCTCTCAGGATTGTTTTCAAACAATGCTGAAGAAAAGTATTCCAATAATATTTTACACTACGATTTGTTGATATTTTTCATGTCCATGAGTCATCTTCATTGCATTTTATCTTCCTGTTTTTAATTAAGTACAATCTGCAGTCATTATTTTGAAACATTATTGGTAACAAAATGATCCTGATCCTGACCCTGACATCATTTATGGAAAATATAAAGCAGTTTTCATAATCCTTATAAACACATCAGAATGCATCGTTGCCATATTCAGCACTTTTACAAACTTTTTCCTGTTGCAGAGAGGAGCTTGAAAAACAGAAATCTCATGAGCGTCACATGAAGCTCCAGGAGCAAGGGAAAACTGAACAGGCTAGGAAAGATTTAGGTGAGGACCTAAGTAACAAATGTTTATGGCTATTCTGTGACACCATCCTTCTATGGTTTGAACTATACTTCCTCCGGTTCTATAATTTTTGATGTTTTAACTATGACACAGTCTCTTAAATATCTTTGAGGTTCTTTTATCATAATATATACAATTATAGTACTTCCTCCATTTCAAAATGTATTACATCGTTGACTTTTTGCATAACGTTTGACCATTCGTCTTATTCAAAAAAATAATTTAAATATCATTTGTTGTGACTTGTTGTATTATCAAAAATATAATCTTAACTTATACTTTTACATATTCATATTAAATTTTTGAATAAGACAAATGATCAAACTTTGTGCAAAAAGTCAATGGCGTCATACATTTTGCAAAGGAAATAATACTTTGTAAGACAAATTTATATATGTTGTTATAGTGCCTTTAAACTAAATATTTTTAAAGTTACTAATAGTCAAAGTTATAAAAGTTTGATCTCTATTTTTAGATATTGGTTTGTTTATGCTTGGATCTTGCAGGTTGTGCTCATATTTTCTGTCGAGTTCATGTAACTACACAAGTAAGAGCTTTGAAGGAATGATCTGTCATTTGACAGCCTAAACTAGTATATGGTTTTAGCATACCAGCATTAGGAAATGATGACCCACGTCATGCTATTTGCCCTTTCATCAACCAGAACCTCTTTTAAGAAATAGATACAATTCCTCCTTTGCATGTGTGTATATTTTATATTTTAGTGCAAGTATGTATGTGACTATGTGTTGTTCCATATTTCGTATGTGATGCATACTATGCTACTTTTCTTTTATTCGAGCGCAGTTACTTATCATAATCTCAAACAATCATGATATTAACTTGCCCTTTTCCAACTATAGAGCGTCTTACTTTGATACGCCAACAGAGGGCGGAAGCTGCAAAGAAGCGTGAAGAGGAAAAGGCTGGTATGTGTCTTTATCTGTTAGAAGCAAGTTTATTGGAACTTTAGAAGATTCAGATCTTAGTCTAAGTATCTTCATAAACCCAGAGCAGCTGCTATTAGTTTGTTTTGGCATGTTTTTCCATTCATCCACCCATAGCGGCTAGTTACCTAACGTTCCTCGGGAGTTGGCCATATTTGTACGTCAACTAAGAGTGACAAGCGCAATCTTACACTGACACTAACTTTTCCTTCACGTCCTTAAGCCATACAAAACTTAGTGATTGTAACTTGTAGAATAAACTGTTTGTTTCTGCCCTACCACAAATTACATGCTGATGTTTTTTGTACTTTTACTATTGACAGCCAAGGACGAGAGGAAGGCTGAGGCGCGCAAGTGACCTGCCAAGCTATTGGAACAAGAAAGAATTTTGACCCGAGCTGTGATAGCTCAACGTTACCTTCCTATGCTTCTGAATTCTGATATCACTTGAACTCCCCTATATTTATTTACCGTAGGAATAGTATGCAGTAGTTATGTAAAGTGGTTGTGGTCGACCGCCACGGGTAGATGCGACTTTTGAGCTTGGAGAGGTAGTAGGAACTTGGTGGTAGCAACTTTGGTGAACAATTGTCTACTATTTGTCCTCATGCCGCGGTATTTTCGTTATGGTATTTTAGACTGTTAATGATCAATCTTTCGATAAAATGAATACTATTATCACTCTGCTATGGACTGAACAATAGCATTGCAAAACAGTATTCCTTGGGCTGTCGAGTCCTTTACTCGGTCCCAAACAAGGTTTGGCAAAAAAAAAAAAAGGTTATTACTTCCTCCGTTTTCAATTAACTGAGGGTGTGTTTGGATAATGGGAAATGATGGGTGGGATTGGGATTGGGAAATGAATGAAGGGTTAGGGATTAAATGGATGAGGGAGAATGAAAGGTTAAGATTTAAAGAGGGGTGGGAAATCATTTCCCTTAGACATTTGGTTTTGATTCTGGTATTTAAACTTTGACCACTAATTAACCACACTAACAAAAAGTGACAGATAAGTTTCATAATTACATTTATGATATAGCACACTTTGTTAACATGACTTGTCGATATTATTCTCAAAAGAAGACCAGTGGTCAAAATTTTAAGTAATTTTAAAACGGAAGGAACGGGAGCTTTTGTTTAATAAAAAGAAAATGTCTTCAACTCAAACGGGGAAGGAGAAGGCCGCAAACCCCAAAAAAATATTTTTAAGAAACGACTCCGCTGGGGATCGAACCCAGAATCTCTGGTTCCGTAGACCAGCGCCTTATCCATTGGGCCACGGAGTCCTTATGAAATGCGAATTGTAGCAAATGTTATTATTATTATTTTTATTTTATCTCGATTTCCAACCGATATATTTTATTAGAAAACTTTATATTTATAAGATAATTTAAAATATAATATAAATTTATACTTTGTGTTTATAATAATTAAAATTAAAATTCAATTAATACTTTCTTATTTGCTGTGTCCTGACTCTCTTTATTTTTATCTTCAACACCAATTAAAGCTACTATTTATGATTTCTTCATCCTTCAGTGCGTAGCCTAGGGCGCAAGATCCTAGATCCAAGTAATCATGTGGATGGCTAGAGCGACTACATCTATACTCTACTGAAGCTTGGAGATTTCTCCTGTTAATAACAGTCCATAGTCGTCATTCTGGACCAACAACACAATTTATGGCACACTGGTGTCGTCATAGCCTCCTAGCCCAGACCGCCTCAAGTTTTAATGCCCTTGATTGATTCCTGGATCCAAGCAGTGCTTCTCCTCAGCCAGTGCACACCAGCCACTACTATACCTGCATCTGCATCTGCAAATGGTGTAGTACGAATTCAGAATTCAGAGTTAGCATTGACACTGCACCAATCTCCAGCACAGCTCCGGGTCCAGTTTAGCTGTTTAGGGTGTGTTTAGTTCACACCAAAATTAAAAGTTTGATTGAAATTGGAACGATGTGACGGAAAAGTTAGAAGTTTGTGTGTGTAGAAAAGTTTTGATGTGATAGAAAAGTTAGAAGTTTGAAGAAAAAGTTTGTATCTAAGCTCAGCCTTACTCCAATGATTTTCGCACAGTGCCTGAACATTCCAGCGCCACAATAATCACAATCAGACCAAAAACACATCCACATGCTAGAGATTATCCACGAGTTCTTTTAAAACGCAAAAATCCTGCCCCCCTGATCATGCATTCATGCATACTGTTGCTACAGCTCCATCGACCATTTCGTTGACACATACTGAAAATCCGTTGTAATGAGACTGAAGCGTCAATGGCATTGTCGCCTATAGAAGACGTGGTTGTCTCAGACCACGACGTCGCAACAAACAGTCACCTTAATTAGAGACCACTGTAAAGGCAGTACTTAATTTTGAGATTAGGACTTGCTGACTTGCTGTGGTGTGGTTGATTTGTGGACATTATTTCCACCATAAAAACGTAGCAGTACTAATGTACAATCATTTGGTTAATTTTCAGAACATAAACAAGAGAGCTAGTCCTCGGTAAGGACTTAAGGATAAGAAAAAGTTTCAGACTTGATCATGAGTGAGAGGAAAGCAATGACAATGCTTTGTCTCTGGAGGTCTAGCTGCTAGTTATTAGTACTGGTACCAAATGCTCGAGCTTTGCTCTTGCCACAAGCAACGTCATGGGGGAAAGTTCAGTCAAGATCAAGATTGGATATATATGTATCTAAGCAGATTCAGTCAAGATCAAGATTGGATATGCAGCTAAGCAGATTCAGTTGGGAAAGAAAGGTTGTCCTCGTCGAGACAGATATTTCCATGAACAGGCGACAGCACAGCATCACCGGTGCCAAAAATTGAAGGCGATTTTCATTGCGATTCATTCAGTTCAGCACGGTTGAGACTAAATTCTGGCTGGATCACTCTGATTATTGGCGTAGGCAAGCTGCCTTTTTATCTCGTCCATGATCAGGCCATGATTAATGCGTGCTTTTTCCTCGAGTGGTTCATCTGCATGACTGCATCGCATTGCTTTTAACCCACTTTTGTTTAAAAAATGTTACACCGTCCATGATTCCAACCATTTCTTCCCTTAATTATCTTCTGATGAAATTTTGAGTAAGCTCACAGCTGGAGCAATCGACTGACAGTTCTTCTCATAGCAAATTCAGGTTCTTGATTCTGGTATAGCAATAGCATACTACAGAGTACTGTCGAAATTAAATGCTGGTCTTCGAAGTCAGTCGAGCCAGCTACCAATTTATCAATGAAATGTTACCATTACTCGATATGTACGTTAATTATGCTAATCCAGTTCATAGCAACAAATCAAGGAGAATCCATATATCTCCTCTGTACCTGCAAAGATTCTGGTGAAGTCATCCACGAAAATCAACACTTCAACTACCATTTCAAGAACAGAGCTAATTAATAGCTACAAGCGAACCACCAAATAAAAAAGAAGGAAAAAAGAAACAAAAAAAGGAAAAGAAAAGATCAAGAAACCCTCTAGCTAGCTAGCTCCGGCGACCGGCGGCGGCGCTTGGGCGGAGGCGGCGTAGTGGGCGCGTCGGCCGTCGTCGAAGTTCTTGGCGTAGCTGGCGGCGTCGTAGTGGAAGGTGGTGGTGGCGGCGGCCATGGCGCCGCCGTGCCTGCTGCCGAGGCTGCAGAAGCTCCTGCTCTCCCGCACCAGCCTCCTCAGCAGCCGGCTCCACGCTCGCCGGCCGCCGTCGTCGCGGCCGGCGGCGGCGTCGCGCGAGAGGAGGTGGAACCGCGCGGGGCTCCTCTGCACCGCCGGCAGCCACGCCGGCGAGCCCATGCAGCCGGCGAAGTAGGACGACTGCGTCATCGGCGTCGACGGCTCGGTCTCCATGGCTCGCTCGCTGCCTCGTCCAAGCGATCGAGAGATGTGTGTGTGTGTGAGAGAGAGAGAGATTGTGAGCGAGAGAGAGAAGCTTGGAGGTGGTTAGTTTATATATGGAGTTTTATAGCGAGGGAGATGAAATGGATTAGGAATGGAGAGAGTGGAAGAGTTGATGCGGGTGGCCGTGCAAGCCCGTACCCGCTAATATATTCGGATCCAACTTGCGACTAGGGAAAGTGGTTTTATCTCTCGAGTGGATATTATTGTTTCTTACGTGTCATCTCAATAATTATATAATTATAAAAAAATTCATAGATTAATATGGAATATATCACTCTATAGTACATGTTTAAATTCAACTTCTATAAATTACAATAAAAATAATAAATATAAACGAAAGTATATTAACTATTTTTAGTTTTCCTTTTTTGCAACCTTACCGTTTGAATTTAGCATTATATGTTTGTGTAGTGATATATTTCATATTGATCTATGCTTTTATTTTTAAGAAAATATATATGTCTATTTAGGTGACATGTAAAAACCGAGAAGATATTCTATAGGGAGATGAAAATCCAATTCCTCCCATGCCAATATACGGGAAAGTCAGAGGATTTACATGTGTAAAGTCAGAGAGCTACAGTACCGTGACTTTGGGAATATTTCTAGCCGTCTGATCCACAGCGAACGAACAAGATCGATCGCTACAGTAAATCGGTGAATAGTAACTATAAACAGTATTTTCGCACTGTTTACTACAGTAAAACTGCAAATCACTATTTCACACTGTAGCAACAGACTCATTTTACTGTGCATGTCTGCCGTTCGCTTCAAAAGTCAGAGGAGTCGCTTCCAAAGTCAGAGGATCCCAATCCCAATATGCAATATTGAAGGAGTACTACTACTGAGATATATGCAATGTAATTAATTACTGGAACTATATTCATTTATCGCACAAAATTATTAAAATATATCACTTCACATACGTGCAAGTTTAAATTTGACTTTAAGTTATAAAATACTTTAACTAATGCATGTATATTCACAACCAACTTTAATTTCTTTATTACAATTTGTAGAAATCAAATTTTAACTTATATGTTTATGCAATGATATATTACATATTAATTATCCTGTAATTTTTTTTAGATTTTTTTATAATCATTTAATTAATATGCAATAAACAACTAGATTTTCACTCGAGTGATTTAAGAGAGATTTCCATACTACACACTACACTTCTTACTCTAAGGTGCAAACATACACACCACTACAGACGCACATTAACAGCGTCTCTAACATAGGTGCCGGTGATAACCTTCCTATATTTCTTTTTGTCGAAATTGAAACTCACGGATCCAATGGTCCTCCTAATTGTACATGTTTACTTCTCAATTCTGAAGTTATTAATCATGATTAAGCATATCACATAAAAACACTAGCCAGATTTGCTACTGGCATTAAAATGTTATTATGCTAGTGCTGAATATTTCAGTCCTAAGGTGATTTGAAGTAGCTGTGAATTTGCTCTGTTGTGCAGTAGTTAAGTGTTTGTGTGGCTCCTTGCTGGAAAGTTGATCGTGCCATCATTAGCTGCAATCATTGTAAGAGCTTAAATGCATATAATTAGTGAGAGGACCACCACAGTCATGGCACTTGTGGAGATTATGGATATCCCATATCTACACGGCGATGATATTTGAACTGAATATAGGATACCGAATATAGATAGAATATCTTATGTGTATCCTGGGTTTGTTTCTTAACTTGTACATCAAGGAAACACCTTGAGACTTAGTCGGTCACGACTGTATTTTATCTGTATTTACATATTCCGTTAGGGATATAGATTATCTTTTGTAACACGGACTCTTTCCCATATATAAGGGGGGTCCGGGTGCCTCTAGGGGCAGATGTTGATTTTCTCTAAATCATACAATCAATAACACACTCGGCGGATTCATCCCCGGACAGGAGTAGGGTATTACTTCTTTTATAAGAAGGCCTGAACCTGTATAAATCCTTTGTCTCCAAACCCATACACTTTTCTAGCTTGATAGCCACCCCCTTTTATTATTGCCGAAATCTAGTTTCGACAGTTGGCGCGCCAGGTAGGGGTAGCGTCAAGCTTTTCGCCGATCAGTGCAATGGGTCCCATCTCCGGCATCGACGACCTCGTCTTCCCACCCGGGCAGACGTTTCGGTTCGGCAGCCTCGACTTCGTCACCAACAACTTCGGCAAGATCTCTCTCCTTGACTCGGAATCGGACCAGTCGGGAGAGAACCGGATCTCAGTCCCGTTTGGATTCCCAAACGCGGCTGAAACCTACTTCAAGACCATCTCAATCGAGTCGGCTTCAAACCACTCGGCTGAGATCGCATCTTCTCCAACGACACCAGATCAAGATGATGGGGCTTACCCACCAGTCCTGATGAAGCTCCCCGACGATTTAGCGGCCGTCTCCACCACGACAGCGTCTTCATCCCGTAGGCCTAGGCGGAAGTCGGCTTCAACACCGATTTCGCCTAGCTTCAGGGAAGTCGGCGTCATCCTCCAACCACTCGGCACGGTTTCGACGGATCAGCTGGATGACTACAACAGCTCTCCCACCGTCGACTCACGTCCTACTGACATTGTGGAGTACGACGAATTTAGTTCTCGCTACAACGACTTCGACGACTTCGACGGAAGCCTAGATGACAACTACACCCCTCTCTACTTTGGCGTTTTCATGGCCAATAATGAGACGGAGGAGCAACGCCAAGCCCGGGAGACCGAAGAACGTCGCCGACTGGAGGAGGAGCATCAAGCACAAGAACAAGAACGGCTACGGCGTGAGCAGCAGGACCGTGAGCGGACCGCGAAGGAGGCTGAGGATCGACGTCATCGAGCTTTGGAAGCAGGGCGCCGAGCGCGTGATCTCATCGGCCAGCAAGATGTCGAAGGGACACCGGTTTTCCGCACCCCTCAACAGAATGCGGTTGCCGCGATCACCCTTCTCGACACCCTCCTCAACCAAAACGAGCTCAATCAATCCGACCACGTCGTCAACATCTTGAACCAGACGAAGACCATGATTGCGGCTTCGGTCCCAGTTAACTCCGAAAGCGTCCACACGCCGACTGGCAGCCGAGTTCCCCACTTCCGATCTCATGACTACCGTCATCCAAGCCTCAGCATCACCGGCGCAGGATCCAACCGCAGGAGCAGGGGTCACGACGAGCGGTCTGTTCACTCACCTCCCGACCTTCGTAGGGAGCGCCGAGTGGAACGGCCTCGCTCACCACCTCGTCGCCGCCCCATCGATCTTCGCGACACGATCATACAGCGCCGAGCAGCTCGAGGCTACCATCACTCGCCGGACCGCCACGACGACGACCTTGACGGAGTAGCAGCCTTCACCGACGACCTGCGTCGAGTGGATTGGCCAGCCGGCTTCAAACCGACTGGAATAGAGAAGTATGACGGCACCACTAACCCCGAATCGTGGCTTACCGTCTACGGTCTCGCAATCCGCGCAGCAGGAGGAGACAACAAGGCCATGGCGAACTATTTACCAGTGGCTTTAGCGGATTCCGCCCGATCTTGGCTCCATGGATTGCCCCGTGGTACAATTGGATCTTGGGCCGAACTACGCGACCACTTCATCGCCAACTTCCAAGGCACCTTCGAGCGTCCCGGCACACAATATGATCTCTACAACGTCATTCAGAAGTCCGGAGAATCCCTTCGAGATTACATCCGGCGATTTTCTGAACAACGTAACAAGATCTCCGACATCACCGACGACGTCATCATCGCCGCGTTCACCAAAGGGATTCGCCACGAAGAACTAGTCGGCAAGTTTGGGCGTAAGCCTCCCAGGACAGTCAAGCTCATGTTTGAAAAAGCCAACGAGTACGCCAAAGCTGAAGACGCCGTCACCGCATCAAAGCAGTCGGGTCCCAGTTGGAAGCAAAACAAGGGTACGCCGGCTACGGGAGGAGGTGGAAGTAACAATCATAAGGACCGCAAGCGTAAGCCTGCGGAACTTGTTGCAACCGCCAGTCACTCTTCTCGACAGCGTTCGCGCGTCAACACGTTCGACAAGATCATGAACTCCCAATGCCCGCACCATCCTAACTCCAACCACGTGGCCAAAGATTGTTTCGTCTACAAGCAATTCGCGGATCAATACACCAAGACTGCACGGAAGAACTCTGACGAAGAACAAAGCACGTCGAGGAAGAAGGACGACGGCGACACCCCGGCAGGTTTTCAAGATCACCGCAAGGAGCTCAACCATATCTTCGGCGGCCCCCTGGCTTATGAGTCTAAACGGAAGCAGAAGTTGACTGAACGGGAGATCAATGCTGTTCAGCCCGACACGCCCCAATATCTTCGATGGTCAGAGATCGCAATCAAGTTTGACCGCTCGGATCATCCTGACCGAGTGGTCCACCCGGGGCGGTACCCCCTGGTACTAGACCCAGTGGTCCGTAATGTCAAGCTTCGCAGAACCCTCATCGACGGTGGCAGTGCACTCAATATCCTCTTCGCCAAGACCTTGGATGATATGCAGATTCCTCGCTCCGAGTTAAAACCAAGCAATGCGCCTTTTCACGGAGTGATTCCAGGATTATCCGCAACTCCACTCGGCCAGATCACCCTCCCGGTCACTTTCGGCACTCGGGAAAACTTTCGCACAGAGAATATCAGCTTCGAAGTCGCCGATTTCGAGACAGCTTACCATGCCATACTCGGACGCCCGGCGTTAGCCAAGTTCATGGCCGTCCCGCACTACACTTACATGATGATGAAGATGCCTGGTCCCCGAGGAGTGCTATCCCTACGGAGTGACATCAAGCAAGCCGTCACATGCGACAAGGAGAGTTGCGACATGGCTCAAACCCGCGAGATGACGTCTGCCCGAGAGGATATCCGACTGGCTGCAGCCACGGCGAGCGAAGGAGAAATACCTGCTACCAAGACTTCAAAAAGTGGAGAAACCGAAGCCAAGACTAAGAAGATTCCCCTAGATCCCTCTGATCCTACTAAAACTGCTGTAATAGGCGCCGAGTTAGATTGTAAATAGGAAAGCGCGCTCATCACCTTTCTTCAGAACAATAAAGATATCTTTGCGTGGAAACCATCTGATATGCCCGGTATTCCTAGAGAGGTGATT